CTGGTGAGAATTCAGTCCAAAATGCTGTCCTTGTGCTTTTCACTACAGATACCACCTGCAGGGAGCACCCCCACATGTATTTTCCTTCAGTCAAAGGTGTGCATGTAACTGGCTGAGAATAGTTGGGTAAGACAGCTGGCTTAGTTCCCTACCAACTGAGGCTGTAGTATGAGCTTGCCAGTTGTGTGACTTCTCTGGCTAGGCTTACTACGTGGTGGGGACTCAGTAGTATACTCAGCAGTATGCAAGGCTGTGAATTAAGGCACTGGAATGGAACTGAGGTCCTGCACAAGTCATTGTTAGGGATCCATATCAGACAAGAATGTACACTGAATTTCCTGAGGAGGAATTAGTTTTGCTCTCCAGACAGGAAATGTCAAGGTTCTGTTCAAATGTTACTATGAGCAGAATTTTTAGAGATTACATTCTTTTGTGTGATCTGGTGTCAGTTTCCTTAGTTGCGCAAGTTGAAGGCTGTGTTAAGCAATGGATGAGGTTAGATGTTTTCCTGCCTGAGCTAGCAGGAGAAGCAGTTCTAACATCACTAAGGCTTTGTTTGTGGTCTTGACTCAAGTCAATCCATTCTCCAATTCTCTGGCTGAACAGGGCCATTTGCTTTGCTACTGGGAGCAATCAGCTCTGCCTGCTGGCTTCTGGGCTTGAGTGTACTGGTCACACAGTATTTTTCCAGGTGTTCTTGACTCTGCTTCCTGCTGTATGGGACAGAGGGCATATTCCATACCAGTTGAAGCTATGACTCTACCCTTGGCCCACTCTAGGCAACCCTAACATTCCCTAAACTGATTTCCTGGTTGCAAAAAGTATAAAACCACAGTTTGCAGTAGTTAAGGCTAGGAAAGAGATTTTCTGAGTAGTCATGGATATTTCAAGAATGGCATAACCACTAATTTGTGCATTCCTATTAGGCAAGGGGCCGAAGGCTCCTTAGGGGTTCTTGCATCTCATCTCAAGTAAAAAATTGAGATCAGAGTGAGGCAAGGAAGAAAGATTTATTGACAGATGAGGACAGGAAAGCTCTGAGTAGAAATGGGTCTGAATGAGTTGCCAGTGAGGGGGCAAGAAGCAGGTTTGTATATGGGCCTAATAAGCAAGTAGTAGGGGGTTAGCCATGGGGTGTCTAGTGATTGATTGGGGCTTACTTAACTAAAGCCCACTGTGTCCCAGATTACCAACTTGCTTTCCTGTCCATTGTTTTTAACGTTGGTATTCTGAATCGTTACTGGGTTGTAGAGCACCGTGACCCCAACCAATTGTTCATCAGTAAATAGAAGGACTTAGGACATCTGGGCTTGGGACCCCTCCCCACTGATTCTAGCTAACCACCTACCTGTACTCACTTCCTAACTCTCATTCAGCATGCTCTGCACAGTTTGGGGGAGGGGCAATGTAATTGGTGTGTAGTGATGCCTCTTACTCATGATCTTTGTGTTGTAGCAGCAGTAGTACAACCCCATTCCCATGTTCTAGGATTCTGTGATGTCTTTCCCAACAATAGTTGTTACTCTTTTTGTTAGGGGAAGTGAAGGCAGGAATGACCTATATCATCACTTGAGGACATCAGTTTCTACTACCCTTGGTGATCACAAACTCATTCTTTCAACATATTACCTGACTTCTAACTATTGCAGTTACTAGAAGTCAATCTAAATAGTTAGGTCACATAGTAGAAAGGCAAAATTATAGGTATCATAACCCTTTTGACAACATACTCCTTAAGAGAATGAGTAAAACAATGAAATGGGTATTTTACAACTGAAAAATAAAGCCCTACTTCTAGGATATGTATGATTTCAACACTTCTGTCGAAACTGAGGTTTCTTAACACTCAAGAGTTCCCTTGGAGGTCTCTAGGAAAGGGAAGCTACTCTGTCCACCAGTCCCTCCTTATCAATTCCACCCATCTCTATTTCCATTTTAGTGAAAGAAAAGGTTTGTTTCATTTGCTACTGTGCCTAGAACAGGGCTGTGTTCTTTTTAAACCTTTAAGGTATCTGTTATAAATGAACAAATTAATAGATATTAGGTTCATAGGTAAGACTTCAATCATCAAAATTTTGTGCTTGAAACAATTCTGAAACCAATGTAATTTATGATAGTACTGGGAACATAATGTATGGAGGGTTAAGTTTTCTCTGAAATCTAGGTAAATACTAGGATTAGTAATATCTTATCAATTCTGTTAGAGAATGAGTTCAGAGAAAAGGCAGAGCAGTAAGTATTCAGTGTGACAATACAATGTCAATTTTTGTAATGGGAACCTGGGTCAAGAAGTCCAGCATAACTTTTGTAAAGTGCTCCTTTGCTGATGGATGAGGCTGTCAAAGCGGTTATCCACTTGAATCTATATACAAGAAAGAGCAAACAAAAATAAAACCCATTCCATAATCTTAACTATTTTTGTATATACTATGGTAGCTGCAGAAACAATGATTGATTACTGGTCCTGAATTCACTAGCTAAAGTAAACCATCTTAGTCCTCATTTTTAACCAGGAAACTATCAATGCAAAATGAGACATAAGGTGTATATTCAATTCTACTGCAGAAATGTCTTTAAATTCTGCTGAAAACAGTAAAAAAGAGTTCTTTTGGGAAACTGAGAGGCACAGAGTTTATAAGTAGAGATTTGAAAGAGACACAGTTCACTTGGCCAGGCAAATCAAAGGGGGTATATAAATTTATTTTTCATGTAGCAATTGATTAGTTTAGAAAATTTCCCATTTTCAATGTTTAATTCCATCTCATTTAAAAAAAATCACTAAAAGGACAAAAACCACACAAAAATACAATCTGTATCTGTTCTATATTTACAGATAACCAGTCACTAATAAGGCACAGATTGATTAAAAACTAATATTTATTCAAATAATCCAAATATTTTGTGCATCATATAACACTGACAACACTGTACACTGTAGTGTCATATTCCCTTCATTGCATCAAGAGAAAGTGAGAAAAGCAATTTCCAGTGTTTTTATTTTTAGCCACCCTACTTAATCTAGTTTAATGGGGACAGTCTTTCCTTTGGCATAATATCAAAGTACTGTTCACAAATCCTGTATCAACTTAATACTGCATATTCATTCCAATGTCTGCCTGCTGGAAATGCATACATGGTAGAGCTACAGTGCCAAATGATTTGGGAATATTTTACTAAAGAAATGGTAAAACTTAGAGCACTGAGTTGTTGAACAGGAGGCAAATCTGGAATTTTAAACCTATGCTGAATTTCAGCAAAACGTTAGACAATGAGCTACAATTGATTGTGTGCAAGTTTCATTCATAAGGAACATGATTCCATTCTATTTGCAAGTGGAGGAAATTTAGTTGTGCATCCTTCAGCAGGTATAGCTTAGTTTGCAAATGGATATCCCCTTAATGGTAAAATTGCTCATGTTATGACAGGCTCAGTATGCCTTTAGTCTTTTTGTATTTAAGCATATGAGAAATTTTTACATTTTTGTTTTTACTTTTAATGGTAAAATTTCACCATGGAAAAAAATGTCAGGCAAGTGTTTGATTCTACATCTGTATAAAAAAGCCCAACTGTTACTAACGCTTATCTAATGCCTTCTGCTAAGAGTGCAGGACAGTGGTTTCTGTCCATATTGAGTGTCTTGAATACTGAAATATAAATAAGTCATTACAGTACAGGTAATTCAAAACATTTCCTATGGCAAATTTTCCTAACAAATTAATACACTTGGAAATAAAACTGCTTTGAAGAGAGGCACTTAAGTGATTTGCTTAATGGATTAAAAACCCTTCATAAAGCCACAATGAGATGTCTGAAAAGACCTAAGAAACAATGCTGCCTGATTTTTTTTTTTTTTACTTTCACAGTGTAAGATTGTAACAATGTCTAGCCACTTAAACCCTTCCAATTTTCAACTAACACAAGTCTACTCCAAGCAGACAGAATTTTAGGAACATCCTCTCACCATATGGAGCACAGATAATATGAACAGGGTAATAAGGACAGTAATCTATTTTTCCTCCCAACGGCAACAGTGTTGTCTTGTCAGATGATTATTTGTATTTTTTAAATAAAGTGACAATCTAGGACTCCAGTTATTGAATGCTGTCCATTCTCTACCATAAAACTCTAGTAGATATCAATTTATCAATTATGTACTGTATGCTTATAATATCTAAAAATAAAGGTTTGATATAAATAAGTGTCCTTTAGTGGCAGTATACTAAAAAGAGCCCTTTGCAAAACTTCAGACAACTGTTAAAATCATTTTAGCAATACAGGCAGCAGCTAAGTATCATGACTGCAAAGGGTTAATATTGCAAAGTCCATTTGGTCTTTCTTGGTACCTGTTACATGAACTAGGTTCATTGCTAATGTTTCTAGGATGCTGACAAATGAACAGAACTGATGTAGAACAAGTGAAGTCATTTATATTTCCCAAAGTCACAGAATACTCTGTACAAAAATAGTCCAGTACCATTTGAAATAAAAATTTAACAGAGAAAAAGTCACTAAATCTGATCTGTACCAATACATCAGGTGACATGAAAATGAGAAAATTTCCACAGGACAAGAAATTAGAAAGTGTAAAGTGCTGAGAGACCTCAATAATTACCTTAAAGCAGTACCAGAAAGTTCCACTTTGATTATTCTTTTAAAATCCCCAAATACCAAAACAAGCAAACAAAATAACTTCTGTTCTCTAGCATCCCAAAAGTCAATTCATCCTTCATTTTAAGTACAAAAAATCAGTGCATATGTTATATAGGTAAATAAAAACAGGAAATAAAGCCCTGTTTTCATATTGAAAATTCTGTCCACTTGCCATTTATAAAAAGTAATCCACATGTGGTGTTCTGTACGATGACATACATCTTTTTTTCTTTTTGGCACACAGTTCAGGCGTGAGTAAGATGCTTTGGTCCTGATAGCAGATAACCCAGCATGCTGAGGGTGGTGTACAGGAAAGGCTGTTCACAGAACTTCTGTATCCAACTTGACCGTCGATGGCCTGGAGGGCCCTGCTACCAGCGGCCACTGACACTAGCGATGTCTGAGTGATACTGACGTGGCAGCCTCCCACTCGCTCCACCTTCCAGGAAAGAGGTGCGTGCATTTGGTGATTCAAAAAGCTTTCTTCGGTTTTTATTTAGTTCTAAAGAGAGAAAGAGAGGACTGTTACTTGATGGAGAAGTCTATAATCTACACAACATGGCAGTAGAGCTCAGAAAATAAGGTAGTCTGGAGCTAAGGTGAAACAAGTCTGGTAGCTAAAGGAAAAAACCTGTAGTTGAAAGAATCACAACGCTTCTGAAAATCTGGCATTGAATGTAACGTGTTGACAGCTGAAGAACCAAGGCAAAAAAAAAAAAAAAATTATTGCAGTTTAACTTATCTTCCAGATAGTGCATTCTCAGAACCATCTACCATCCAGCTCTACAAATGAAGCAGGTTTGACCTCTCCCAGATGTCATTTCAGAGACAAGGGAAGGGCGATCATGGCTGGTGAATGGCATCTGAGAGAATATATTACTGATGACACACAAATTACAGCTATTGTATTCATTCAGGACAAACACGGTAGTCATCACAAAGTCAACATGAAGATCCCACATATCAACACACACAGTGCCACACCTGCCAGCTGTATTCCTGGAGTCCAAAGTGGTCATATAAAGCTTATTAATTGGAGGGATCTTTAAATAAAAAAACATAGCGAAAATAGCAAGTTTTCAAAATGAGTACTACTGCAAACAACCCTTGAATCCAAATTTTCAAAACACCTAAAACATCATTTACTTTTGTCTGGTTAATTAATTATCAACCAGAAACTAAGCAACATGCCCCCAGCTTCATACACACATTTGAAATAAGTCATAATGAACAGAATTGGCAATTTCTAAAATTTATTGAGACTTTTGGTAGCTACTCAAAGCAAATATTTCAAATAGAGGATTAATCTTACATCTGCATAGAACTCAAGCAACTCTGGCCTGCTGTAAAAAGGCTGACAGAGGTCACAGATGGGCTCAACAGCCATGTGGCCACATGGGCTCCAGTCTCCTGAGTTTCAAAACATAGACAAACACCCTTAACATGTCACCCCCCTGATTTCCAAAATTTAAATGGTGACTTTATATGGGTGACACAAAAGTAGCAATAGTGCGCCTTTGTTCACATGTAGGTCACAGGGAAGAAGAAAATAAGTGATTTCTTAGAGCCTACTATATACACAATATGCACTTCACATTTGTTTTCTCCTACTGACCTCTTCAGGGGTAGATGTTATTACCCTTCACGTTTTATAGATAAGAAAATGGCAAAGTAAACTGGTCTACTAGGCTGTTAAGTGACAGACATGAAATTCTATTAGCCACATGTAAAGATTCATACTCTGGGCTCCATCAGCCACACTGAGAGGATGAACCAATGGTTCAGGCAACACATTTGAGAAACTGGTAGTTTTGGGTGTACCAGTTAATAGAACTTTACTTTAATCTTCAGTATAGCAACTTTTTTAAATGGAAAAACAGATGAAAAAAAATTCAAAGAAGGTACCTTTACAAGCAAGACATTCAGGCATATAGATGGATATTTTGTTTAAAGTTCCTTCAGAAACACCAGTGACATCCCTATTTAACATGCATGTGTTGTACCTTTGTGTTTAGAGAACACACACAGCACTGAATGTGTTTCAAGGCAAAATTTAAGAATAAATGATTTCCTGTAAAGCACAACCTGGGAAAGCTTTATCACCTTTAAGTTACAAGACTTTCTTTGGCCTTCATTTTCTTAGGGAAACAACCCACAAATGAAGAAATTTCCATACTATAGCGAAGGAGAAGGGGGAAATGAGATCAAACATCATTCTCCCCAACCCCAGAACACATACAGCTGGGCCACAGAAGACAAATTATTAGGCTCTGAAAAGTTATATCAACTAGATTGAGGGATTTCAGCCACTCCCTAAAGACATAATTTCTGGGTGTATATTTCCAAATGTCAGACACAGAGGTAAATATAGAGAGAATATGAAGGATCAACCCCTATCAAAGAGGATTTAGATATATGTTGTTTATTCAATTAAGAAGCAAACTCCCTCTTCTAATTTTTTTTTTTTTTCAGTAAGCCTAAGGAATAGTTTGGGAAAATACCAACCTTTTTCTTTGAAATTCCAAGGTCACACAATCCTGGCAGCTCTCAGGATCTTGTTGCGGATCTGAACAGAGTCACAAACTAAAAGAATAGGTCGGGAAATGTTAGATCTACCTGAGGCCGTGTGGGGTAAGTCTGTCAACAGGATACTAAACTTCCTTTGTCCCTGTAAATTCAGTCAATCACTCACTAATATACCCTGAGAAAAATCAAAGAATTTTTAAAAGCACATGGATTTGGAAAAAAAAAAAAATCATCTCTGCTCATTCTCGACCAGAGACAAATTTCATCTCTTATAACATTAAAATAAATGTCTTCTGGCCCAAGATTTAAAAAAAAAAAACAAAAACAAAAAACAGGCTAAAATCCACACCATTTTGACAAATTGTATCGAGCTAAACTATAAAATCACAAGAAAACTAGGACTAGTTACTTTGCAGCTATCTGCAAATGGATTGTTCTGAGATTATTAATGGATGTCTTTGTTATCAGATGAGTTGAATTGGAAAAAGAAGCTTTTTGATGAAGGGTTTCTCAATAAAAACTCATTATGTGAAGATAAAATTATTCACTGAGTTCAAACAAATCCACTCAACAAAGTAAGGCAAAGTCATCCTTAAAATAAATACTTCAGTGTGTAGCGCATTCAGAAGGCATCGTATTCCAGTCTCTAATTCCCTTTAAAAGCAAGAGGACCTGTGAACCCCACTGCGAGGCACTGTATAGAGTAGGATGTAACTTCAAAGAACCACACTAAAGATGATTGTAGAAACTTTTTCTTTTAAGAAAAGGATTCAAAACCCAATTTCCCGTTCTCCCTAAAGTACACCACAATGTATTCCAAATAAAGGTACTAATAATCCATCTGGAACCCATAAAAGTACTTAAAGCTATCTGATTGCTGTTAGAGGCGTTCTAGAGTTTAGAACTGGGTAGGTACACAAAGGAAGAGGTTAAATTTTTCTATACTGCCCAGGAATTTCTAGTGAAAGATTAGTTTTCTGGAATATACACATACTGCTCTGGTATAAATTTAACAGTATAGGCATGATGTTTATTATGTATAGTAACCAAATTTGTAGTATAAAATAATCATCAGAGGCTGAACTTTTAGTATTTAGCTGAAAAACCTACATTACTGCCATAGATAAGGAAATAAAAGGGAGTGTCCTACTCATCACATGTATTGTTAAAGTTGCAGGTTGTTTATTTTCATCACACCTGATAATATACCACATGGAAGCATCTTACAAATGGAAAGTGACCTTACAAGATCATCTGTTCCAATTCACCTTCATAGTTCAGAAACCAAAAGAGGTTTGGAAACTCACCCAAGGACTCATAACTTGGCAGAGGTAAAGGCCATATTTCCTTATTCGAATACCACGTTCTTTCCACTATACCAAGCCGAGCTTATGAGCAAACAAGAAAAAGCATGTGCCCCGTGGAGCTCCATTAATGCTGCCTGTGGGTAAGCCCACAGGAGTAACACCTCTCAGACTGATGTGGGCAGAACTCTGCCATGGAAAAGTCACAGAAAGGCCTAGCAGACTGCTCAAGGCTGAATTTCCACCCTACTTTAAAGCTAATCTGCTCCAGATATTAAGTCTATATATAAGATTGCCTGTGGAGAGGTGGGTGGGAGATGCAATCTGCTAAAACAAAATGGAAAACTACTGAGGTTTTTAATCTTACTTGCTGATCTGATTAGTGAGTGCTGTTTGGAAATGACTTTTACCAGTTGGATGCCACTGCTGGCCTCATGAAAGCATAGCCTGCAATTTCAGTGTTTTGGAAAAGTAAAGTCATTTTCTCACCACACCTGATGTTGGGCTTCTGCCATGGATGTTGCTGCCTTACTGAGAGATTGGCACTCATATAAACTTAACATTTACAACAGTAACCCCATTTCTTCTTCCCAATTTCTTCAATATTTCATTAGCACCTTTTTGATGTGCACTGTTATAAATTTGCCAACTCCTGATATTATGTGGCTCAATTCCTTTCAAACTGAAAGTATATATGTGTAAGAGCATTTTCTAGTATACAGCATATGTAACAGATGCTAAAAGAAGACAACCTGGGGAAAAGAAAATATTTTCCTTCATTTTCTTACTACCTAAGGATACTACATCCTTCTGTAACTTAAATGCTATTAACATTTTAGAAAAATTAAAAAGTATTAAGTAATGCCTGAAACATTTTTCCCTCCCTCTGGCACAAAGATCTCAATTGGTGTACAAGGAGAGATACATTTTAAACATGACAACCAAACCTAAATTATTCATAAATCCCAAATAATTGCTTTAACACATCTCTAAGAAGAGAATTCAACTGTCCTCCCTTTCTCATATTCTGCAAGGGGCAATTTTCATATGATCTTTCTGTAGAGATCTGTTTTTAAAGTACAGTACTGTCAAGGCAGGTTCCAAACAATGCCCTCATGTAGCAGGTAGAATCAGCATTTGTCACTGTTACCAGAATATTCTCAACCCAGATTAGTAAGAAAGTGGTTGATGGGTAGAACCAGCCCCACTGGCTGAGAACACTAACAGAGGTTATTCAATAACAGAGGTTATTCAGATTTTAAAATATAAATGTGAGCATTTATATTCACCTGAGATAGCAAGCAGCATTTTCCTCCTGGCGCCAAAAGTCGTAATCCCTAGCTCCTTGAGATCCTGATCTGTGAGAGTGAGGAATGTCTGAAGATCAATCTGTGGGTGAAAAAGGAATGTATAACCAACAAACTATGTACTTATTTCCTTCAACTTATTTTTACACCTATTCATTAAATATGGTCTGCCTGCTTGCAAAAAGAAAGGTGGTGTCACAAAACTACAGTAAGAGGAAAAGAATTAAGATGGTGAACTAAAAGCAACAATTCTGTAGAAAACAATCTAAGCCAGTAATTTACTACAATTAAGATAAAAACTTGGCCCTCCCTGGTGGCACAGCGGGTTAAAGCACAACACAAAGAAGCTTAAGCCACTTCCCCATGAGTTCGATTCCAGCCTGCCCCGGAGGTGACCACATGGCACAGCAGACCTCTCCTGACCCGCCCGCTGCTCCCCTCAGCAGTGTACTTCGTCGATCTGCCTGTCCTGCTCCCCACTCTGTCTCTGGTGAAGCCTCTCACCGCCCCTGAGCCTCTAGCCTGGACCCCAGTTCTGTATGCACAAATAAATAAATCTTTAAAAAAAAAGATAAAAACTTAAGTATCCTGGTAGCCATGGACAAAAAGGGAAACTTGAATTGTACAGTTTCTGTGAACTATAAAACAAGCTCTGCAGGAGAGAGAATATAGCTTTGAATTCTGAATTAGTTATGTATAGCTTTTAAAAGAAATAACACCCATACTGCCATATCCCAATGTATAGTGCATAAGAATGATAAAAGAATTCCCAGTCCATACCCAATTACTTCAGATATATTATCTCTGCAGGTGGCACACGAGAAGTATTCCCAAGAAGAGTCTGACTGTACTCTTTGGTATCAGTAACAAAGTGGAGGAAGTAGCCACAGGATCCACCCTTGCATTGAAGGGTGGAGAAATAGAAAACAGGCATGTGTTCAGAATCTGACTTTGCCATTAGTAGTTTAACACTTAGGGTTGACTTACCTTGTGGTGATTATATCTACAATTATTTTAATGCCCTAAAGAAAGCAGCGGGAACACCAAGGGTTAAGATTTGCAATATGGTTAATAGTAATACATAGACATATTAACTGTGAATGTTGCTAAATAGATCTTTAACTTTACTAGGGAATTCCTATGAAGTCCCATCAGAATATTAGAAAGGATCCTGCATAATGGAAGCACTACCAAATGTCAACATACCTACAGTGAAATATAGTTGATACTCTTGCCATTATATAGAATACAACTGAAACTGTTCTATCTTGATTTTTCAAGTTTGTCCAGGTTACTCAACCTTATTTATCATTTGTTACAGATCTAGAAGAATGCTTTTGGAAATTTTATGTAAAGGCAACTATTTCAAAAATTTCCAAACTTTTCTTAAATAGCTACAGTAAATATTTTAGGATTTGTAAATCAGATTATCTGTTGCAACTACTCAGCTGAATCAACTTGAAAGCAACCAGAGACTATATAATAGTGTGTGGCTCTGTTCCAGTGAGGAAGTGTTAGGTAAAGCTTATATGGTTTTATAGTGTATTCTCCATTTTTGAAGTGGACAACTATAATGAATTTACTTCTAATCTTCACAAAGGATATTCAATAATACTGCTTTTTAAAAATCTAACAATATTGAATCTCTCAGACATTGTGTCTAGCTTCTTGGTCAGCCACTCATTTAACCAGCAAATTACATAAATTCTTCAATGCAATGATGAAACTGTTACTCAGATTGGAAAATGTGGAGTCAAACAAAATTAATACCCTCAATTCCAACAAGCCTTTGTGAATGTATAAAAAACAAGCTGAGCAATTAAACTTCTTACTGAACCCATGGGCAATACATAAATTTTTTTTACAAAGTGCCTAATAAAAATCTTAGACAGATGTCAAAATGTAAAACTATATACTTTGAGTTTGCTTTTGTTTTTTTAGGCTATGAGAACAAAACTGCCATTACCAGAAAAGAAGGGGAGTGGAGGGGGCATATCAGGTAAAGGGTATCTATTTCTTGGTGGTATATAGAAGCTAGATTTTTATATAAGTCATATTCTAGTATATACATATGTCAAACTATAATGCTATACAGCTGAAAACTCACAAACTAGTGTTCAATAAAAATTTTCAAAAAATCACCTTGTTCAAAAATCCTGATTTTAATTGACACATGTTCTCTAAAGTGACAGAAATCTAACTAGCATCAAACTTAGACTGTATCTGGATTTGCAAAATAGAGAAAACATAGAAAAACAAAAATGCCTAAGATGTTTTGATTAATGACCACATCCATGGTGGTCTCACTACGGAAACCTAGGTGAGCCCACCTGGGTTTGTGTACTTACACTTTGAGGGCCTCTGACCATCTCCCTATTGCTGAATGGTGCCTGACCTTGTTGCTTTGGCTTAGCTGTGCCTAGTAATGTGACCCCACTTGGGAGAGAATCAGGCTTTTAGTGTCAGGACACAATGGGGTTAGCTGAATAATTTGACTAAAATCCATGGTAGGAATGGTTAGGCAGCAATGTGCCAGACTCAGTTCAGGCACAACCTGAATAGCAAATAAGTTAACATATACAGTAAGTATATTCTGTGAGAACAGACTTCAGCAACGTGACTATCATAGGGGTCAAAAAGAACAACAGTTATTCTTTGATATTTAAGTGCCACAAATAAAGGCAACAGATTAAAGAGAGAAATATTTTTAAAATCAGCCTTGTTGCTGACCTGTAAATCCAAAGTTCCTAGGAATCAATACACTAATATTTTAGCTATAACTTGTGAAGGGTGGTTAGCTTTTGCGCAAACTCATTTTTTAATAGTTCTACTATCCTGTGTTCACTAGTTACACTAATAGGATGACATTTTACTTAGCAACAAAATTAAGCTATGAGACTTGAATAAATGCTCAGTGAAAGCACAGCCATAGGTCAATGAGTGATTTCATCACAGAAATTGTCAGACACACGACCACACCAAAGATGCCTAAGAAAATACACAAATTATGACTGACCTCTTGTTGCTGGAAGACATCTGTATATTTGCCCAGGCCCAGTTTGCTGAAGAGCTCAGGGAGGTCAGAGCCTTTGAAAGAGCTATTCAGGTTACAGCCGTTACTTCCTGTCAGTGAGGAAATGCAGTCCATGTAATTGCTACTGCTGAGATAGTGTTCCGCTGAAAGGCAAAAGAGAGACAGGCTTGAAGTGTAAAAGCCCAGAGAGAACATGGTTTAATTAAAAGTTTTAATCACTCAAATATTTCAGACTTCATTGTTGGGCTGAATAGAGCAGTAGCTACAGAAATACAGCAATCCTTTACTGAAACATTGGCTTTTCATTAAGGAAATGCTGGTTATTACTACTTTCTGGGAGGCTCTTGCCATTTAAAAGGTTGCTCTTGGGAGGCAGCAATTCAGCAATCATGCCTCTGTAGTTAATAACCATTAATCATATTCTCCATGAGTATTCAGAAACATTTGCTCTTTATAATTGATTTGATGTGAATTAAGTGGGGGAATTGGAAGGTGAAATCCTGAGACAATAAAGGTATGGAAAGTTATTGTAAGTACAGATTCCTTTTGGATGGTAAGATGGTTCTCTTGTGCTTTCCTGCAGTCAGAGGAATTCTTTGATATTTCAACATATAAATCTAATTCCCTACAAAAATATGATTTCACAGTGCTTTTACAAAATGGAGTGTTGAAAAATTAAGAGTACCATATGAAGTAATAATAATGATATTGGATTTCAGTTAAGATAGAATTTTTCTCAATTCTATTTATTTATTTCTAAGACAGCAGCACCAAGCTTTGCTTATGTCTGTGTCTGATTTGGTGGGCAAAAGTTTCTCCACATTGTCTGTGGTTCTCAGACACAAAGTCATGCAGAGCTGGGTGCAGAACTGGTGAGCCATGCCAGGAACTTGCCCAAATAGTCAAATATGCCCTGATAGTTTTTTTGAAGAACCTGAAAACTCATTGCCAACTCATAAGACAATCAGATTCAGCCTGTCCCCTCTGGGACCAAAGCTCTCATCTAATCTAAGATTCTTGTTCTGCACTGTTTTGAGTGCCACTGATCACTTTTTTGGGTTAATTTCATCTCACAACAAGTCCTTTATCTCCAGTGGGAGAAATTTCTGGATGAGTATGCTTTCTCTTTAAAACAGATGATTTGATTCTTGTATGAAGAGTATGTAGAGAAAAAGACCAAGCCCATAAGACCCTCAGCTCTGGAACATTCCACTATTTGAAATTAAGGCCATAAAATTACTCCTTTTTTTTTTTTTTTTTTTTTTGATAATCAGTGAGGTGCCAGGCCAAAGCTGACACACACAGAATATGAGGACATGTGACCTGTGACCACTGGACTGGACAACACAGGAAGCTCTGGCAAGCCATATAACTACTGGCCCAAATGATAAAAGTACATTGAGAATAAAAGAGGGAGGTACTGAGCACTTACTAGAACAACTGGTATAGTACCATAACAAGGATGTTAAGACTTAACTGAAAGTGTGCCACTCAATCCATAGTCATTAACCACTTGTCTACTTAGCATATTAAACTAAAATGTGGCTAATGGAATTAAAATGTCCTATAAGTGTAAAATACTACCAGATTTTGAAGACTCAGTACAATAAATATAAGTCCTAAAAACGTCATGTTTTTCATATATAAAACATGTATTTTGTATATATGTTGGGTTAAGTAAATAATTAATACAATTTAAAAAACATGTTTTAGAATATTGTTAGTGATACTTAATTATGGTATATAACTAATTTTTTTTTATCTTCATGACTTACAGGTTCTATATTCTCTCTGAAACTACCTACACTCCTAAAACATCTGACAAAAGCCAAATAATTGGCTGACACCACGATTGGCCATGTCAAATCTGAGACTCTTGACCACATAACCAACTTTACTGACAATAACAACTGGCTGTTACAGAGCATCTACTACACTCACAGAGATCACCTTTCTTCATGTAGTATTTAATACTCCAAGCTATGGGTTTCAAGGTTCCACATTTGTTAGAAAAAAAAGAAAATCCTTAAAAAAGGCAAAAAGGGCATATTTTGTATCATGTCAATTCTTGTCTGTTTACCTATTTATATGGCTCAGAAGGGTGGGTGCTGCTAGAGACAAAACTCACAGGACTCGTGCTGACTCTTTCCCATATTTGCTCATAGCTAGACATGCTTTGCTTGAAACTGTTTTCTCTATGTATGTCAATTCAGCCACATTTTGTCAATTGAAAAAATAAAATCAAACCCTGCTGTTCACATGTGGTAGCTAATTACTGGGTAGACTTGCTTCCACTGTTTAAATATATACTACTCTGACCACATTCTGCCTAACTCCTTTTAGTCCTTTCCTTTTTCTTATGGTTACCTGGATGATTGTGTGTGATTGACACATTCAGCACACATTTACTGAACCCCTAGTAGATGTCAGATTCTCTGGGATGTTTGGAAGAAAGAAGGCAGAGCCTCAAAGAATATACCTGGCCTGTGGGAATTAATAAGTTTTTACTAAATGACTCAATGGATCCTTGCCTTGTGGAACTCAAATTGTACCAGAAAAAACAGGTATGAAGAAGGAATTAAACATCATATGACAAGTGATAGTGAAAGCAGAGAAACATGTGGTGGCTTCACCAGGAAAAACAGGAAAGGCTTTACAGAGGCAGTGGCCCATTGAGTTACACCAAACACCTAAGTGTATGAAACCAGGAGTTTTTACCTGAACATCACACTAGGCCCAGCAATCAATTTCTAACCTAATTACATCTGAAAGTATGACTAAAAGTCAAAGCTCACTTGATTTGTTTTGTTTACGCTTGGGGCTGCCAATTGAAGATGCAAATTCACCATGACTCGTGGGTCCTATTCCATTGCGGTCTCTCCAGTTATGAGATTCACTTCCACTTCCCAAGTGCTCACGACTGTTGGACCTTGAGAGGGACATGGACGAGCCCTGTAAAAAATCAAACCCAGAAAAGAAAATGTTTACTAAGATGGGCTTCCCATGATGGGAAAAACAAACCCAAGTCTAGCCTGCCAATTACACCTTGTTAGCCACTAACTTTTCACAGGAAGGCTGAGTCTCAGAAATCCTGCCCCTAGTGCTTGTCCATAATTTTGCCATGGACTAAGGTGCTTCATAATCATGCCTCAGCTTCTCTTTCCAACCTTGTCTTCAGTGCTCCACAATGCTCTCTTCTCCATAATGTGACCAACTTGTTCTAACTTTAGGATAATGATGCCAGTTGTTTCTTAGCCAAATATTCTTCATCTTCACAATGTTGGTACTTCCTTGCCATCCAGGTCTTAGCTTGAAGGTCACCTGAACCTAAGGTCTGCTATGATCATCCAACCTAAAGCTGTTTAATATTTATCAGGCAATTTTATTGCTCGATGCCTTCCTGTTTATTTGTTTTATATCTCTCTATCCATTAAAAAGAAAAGTCCACCATAAAAGGAACCCTTGCATTGTATCTCTAGTACCTGGACCTATGACTGGAATGTATGACTTAACGTTTGTGGTATTACTGGCTACAGATGACTTTCCTTTCATCTAAGGTTACGTCCTGTGCTGCCTTTAAGACAGGACACAGGGAAATGATGGTGCCTAAAGCTAATAATGGATTTTTTTCATTTAAAATCATCTTTTAAATTTTGCACTTCAATCAAGATATATCCAATCTTGATATATATCCAGCAAGGGAAATGACATACTTAAAAGTACCAATTACTAGCAAAATGAGATTATTTTATAAATTTTATATACACACTGCATGCGTTTCTACATCTATATACAGCTATATCTGTACCTGTAACTCTATCCCTATCTAAAGCTATACACACATCTATACCTCACTGAACATGTTGATTTCTAAAACCATGAAATAAAACCAAAATCTTGTGATATCTATTAGTTCATTATCTACTAATCCAAATATCTTAAGCATTTTACCTCCATTCTTGAATTTATAAAATTTAAACTTAATATTATTCTGCCGAAAATTAAATAAAAGTAAAACTTGCTATTTGCTCCAGAGAGCACATGGCTATTGCTTTATGCATTTAAGAGGCAAGTGGCAAAAAAAGGGAAAATATAACCTTGTTATAACTATATTGATGATAGATATTGCAGGGGAAGTACCCTTTGTTTGACCCTTGTTGTCCCTCTAACAGTAAGTAATGCGAATGGATTTTGAATCTTTGTGAAAATAGTTAAATTTCAAGCTTCCTGCTTCGTATCTAAAGGCTCTCTTTGAAAAAGGCTAATTTCTCAAAGTGACCTAAAACTAGAAACAGCTCAAGGGGAAGCTTCTTGGTGATTTGAATACAGAGCACAAAGCATCAACTTCTGCCTCAAGCAATTTTCCTGGAGTAGGCAAACCTTGTGCTTTGATTCAAGACACAGCTTGAGGGTCCACACCCATCAGAACCTATTGGCCAAATATGCTGCTGCTTACACATCAGCGCTCTACTCATCCATTTGGTTTTATTTTCCTTTGGAAAAAGAATGTTTCTCGCCACCCTCTAATTTAAAAATATTAATGCTATAAACAGAGATGTGTTCAACCTCCTAATACAAATGTTAAGTTCTCTCTACTTTTCCCCAGTTCCTTCTCCACCCTACCCTGTTCCCACATCCTAACCCAAAGACACAATCCTTGTCCTTCTGAACAGTGAAGTACAAAGAAAGGGAAGGGCACAAACATAGAAACAGCAACTGCTGCAGAGTATTAGGCCCTGCGCTATAAGGGTCTTTTCCTCCCAGTCAACGGATATGGGACACAGAAAGAAAAAAGTTCAAGTCCTAAGCACCAGAGAATCCAGAACACCATTTCCAAAGAAAGAATGAGTATATCATGTTTACAGAGGCCCCTAAAGAAAAGCAGGCTACATGGTGAATACACATGTGCTGACCTGGCTGCTCCCACTGTCCCCCCATTCTGAGGAAAGGCTGCTAGACACCAGCCAAGAAGGTGGAGGCGGCTAGCCCAAGAAACCACAGTGATACAAGTTGCAAGTGGGACTTCAGCCCCAGAGTCTTGCATGTTTCTTCCCACAGAAATTGGCCTCCCCATCCCTGGGCCAATGCCGACAAGAAAAGGTTGTGACATCCAAGGCTGCCTGTATCAGAATCACATTAGGTTCGTGCTGAAAACACAGATTCCTGTTTCTGCCCCATCTGATGAAGGAGCTCCTGAAGGAAAAATAAACATATTTGGGAAACTCTAAGTGATTCTCACACCCCGTCAGGTGTGTTCACCTGGTTCCAGATAACATGTGTGTCACCTGGGTGATGGTCCCCCTAGCCTAAGCCATCAGGAAGAGCAGTTGTAAGGAAACTCTGAAACATGAAATGGACTCCTTTTTCTAACACGTACTCCTGGGAACAAACAACTGTTCTGGGCTCTTGCCTCTATGTGGGGAAGTTTTAAGTTTCAAGAGTGAAGTTCCTCATCAAAACTACAAGTCTGTTGGGGCTGTCAGCCCTCCTGGCCCTGCACTTGACCACAACATACTGAGACTGGCCATCATGTCGCCACACTGTGGAGCTTTCACAGCAGACCTCCATTAACATTTCTAAACGGGAATATTTCATCTCTGGAAATACAGTGACACAACCACTACCTAACACACCCTTCTGCCAAAAGCCAGGGGAGCGACACAGATGTCCACAGGAGCAAGAGCTGATGGCCGAACTGTCGGCACCACAGTTATAAGGTCTCTGCCAACAAAAGGAAATGTTTATTTTCTCTCAGAGCTCTAATGGCAGCAAGAGGAGTGTACTTCCTAGGGCTCTGAAATTTTTCCTACTGGTTCCTACATTCTAACTGCTGATGGAAATTTCAATCTTTAAATACAGCCTGCCAGGCTGCTACTGTAAGTCTGACAATGAAATTCAGAGGAAACTATTCTTTGTAGGATTTCAATCACATTTTCTTTTTCTTACAAAAAAAAATAGCATGTTTGTTTTTTCTTTTTATCAACAGTCTAGTTTATTACAAAGAATATGTATGGAGAAGAGGTCAATCTACAAATGCTAGTTATTAGACTAACAATTATGAAACCCTTAACTAGTATTTGTTTCTCAGCCTACAGCTGAACATTGTGATACTTAATCATTTTCATACACATTTAGTCTGCCTGATCTCCCCAGTACTGTGCATTTGTACTCTGTCTCTCCAGCCATACCCCTCGCCCCTGCCCCCGCAACTCTCCAAGGCTTAGAGCCAAAATCTGATAGCCTCAAATTGAAAAGTCCTGCTCAGTGAGTCACGTGTGGCCTGGCTGAGGACTCTGGAACGCTGGATCCCATTTCCCTGTGGCGAGGATGCCAGATTCCCAGTCTCACACTAAGGAGTGCAGCCAACAACTGGGAAACATAAAATTTTGGAGCTCTTGTTTGTGATACTTCCTGCTGTGTTCCTGGCACATCTGAACACACTGAATTTTTAACTCCTATCTTAAAACTTGTTTTTGTTGAATATTTGCTTTGTCTTCTCATGGTGGCATTGCTAGTTGATTAAAAGAACTTCTTACTACACACACACACACACACACACACATACATACATATATACATACATTATATCTTCCCTTTGCTTAACTTTAGCCCTGCTCTATGATTTATGATACTCTGCCCCTAACAAAACCACATTTATCCAAAATCTTGTCACCTTAAGCTGATCAACATCTTTGAGAGAAGACACACACACACACACACACACACACACACACACACACATATATATGAAGGTATCCATTTAACAGCAATATAAATTTCACATGAATAGAACTTGAAAGCCAAATCACCATGAATGACTATTCCTTATGGAAATAAAGCATGAAGGAGAGCAATGGCTATTCTCCTTGTTAAGAGGACAGGCAGGAAGAATGGGTAGGGCATGACTACAAACCTCAAAAGTGGTTGTCATTGTGGGCTTATAGGACACATGATTGGCCCGTCTCAGCTCCTTGATGGTTTCAGCTGGCATGGATTTAGAAAACCCCAGACCACTCCAGGTATTTGTGGGTGTTCTGACCTCCGTCACCACTGGTTTCTTTAACATGGCTTTGGGAAACAGAATATAAAGCAAATACTTGGTATTTTTAAATGTAATTATTCACTAAAATAGTGTTTCTTCGATATATGTAAAGAAATGATCTCTGAGTATTGTTTGACACAAAATGCCTTAAAATATCTTCATAGAACCTTTTACAAAAAGTAATAAATTTTAAAATTCAACAGGATGTTTTAATTGAACTATTATTAATACTCAACAACAAACTACAACCCAACCTCAACAAAATTTTTACAAGTTAAACCTAAACATCTTGATTTCTTTTTCTGAATTTTTTTTGGGGGGGCTATATCAGTTTTTTTTAAATTTACATCTTTTACACTACTGTGTATTCCCTGTAAAATCCCTACGACCAATTCACCCATGAATCATCACCATGCAAATACTCTATTCTCCCCTGCTGTGATCCCTTTCCCCTACATTCCCTTGCAGAATATCTCTGATTTATGGTTGTCTGCTAATTTTGTTGTTTTATTTTTTCTTCCTGATCCCTTATTATTTGGTTTCCCTATATTCCTCCTATGAATGAAAACATTTATACGTCTTTTTTCCTTTCTGACTTAATTCAACCATTTATAGAGCCATTGGAAAAAAGTGTAGATCATTAATGTTTCACATACCTTTGGTTGCTAGTAGTTTTTTTTGTTCATAGTCAAAGGCCTGCAAATAAAACAAAGAAAATATCTTCATTATCCATCTACTCAAATATCTCTAATCCATGATTAGAGAACAAAGGTTTTTATTACAGTCCATGAATCTTACTGGGACACATGCCTAGTTTCACACCATGTGACAGAATCTAGTTACTGTCTGATAAATTTAACTATGTTTTCAAAACTAATTAATTACAATAATAAATTATAGTCTGACTTGTACGTCATAGTGATGACAAGAGTTAGAAATTTCCCTTTGAAAGGAAAATATATATATATCCAATTCACTATGAATATTTAACATATCAGGACACAGTATGTGTAATAAATAACCTAATAGTAGTTTTGCTAAGTTTTAAAATAAGGTATCAACAAAATACTTCCAGATTATATACTGGCCTCCTTCATTTCTCAAAATCTCCTCTTCGTTTAGATAAAGCATGGATGGAAAGGAATGGGATAAAATCAAGACAACTTGATCCATTAGTTAGCCTAATTAGTAGAGTCTTTACTGTTGAAGTGAAATAACTGTCTAGCTCTACATTAAGCAATGTAACAAAATTAAACCTACTTACCTTTTATTACATGACTAGATAGCATCATTTATCCTTTCAATTAACATTGAATAACACAGCTAGATTTATATAAGGACCACAGTAGACCATTTTTCAGTAAGTACTCTAGAAATAGTTACATGTCGTGCTAACACAGTGTCTTAATGCCTCACTTTAAGGACTACCTAAAAAGTGATCTCAAGGCCTACCATCAAGGAATCAATTGGTAATAGTTCCTTTGATTTTTTTCCCACACGAATGATATTTTCAAATTATATGAAGCCAGTATAATTTATGAGCTGAAACAGAATGCTTCTGAGAGTGAAATGTGCTACAAATAATAATTAGGGCAGGATAAGAAAAGTAAACAAGAACAGTCTCAGACAAGCCAGGATATGTGCTTCATTCTAAAAGCACAGCAGAGGCAGATTTTTACATAACATAGTTTGTGATGCTCTTGAAACCTTTCTATAATAGCATTAGGAGTTAATATTGATTTTTAAGAATTAATATCTATCTAATGGCAAGGTACAGGGAGATACCAAATTCACTCATTCGATAAATACTTATCGAATGCCTTCTGGTGAAAGAGACTGTGCTGATGAAACTTGTGAAAGAATACAATAATTAATCAGAAATAATCTACAGCCTTAAAGCACTCAGCATTTTTGCTGGATGGGCTAGAGGGGGAAAAAAGACAAACTACAAAATAGATTAGAAAGAGAGATAAGTATGAAAAGAAAGGCAGAGACACAGACAATACTCCCAAAAGCAGTCAGGAGACAGATCATTCTTAGCTGAAGGAACTGAGGAAGTCTTCTATCTGTCTCCTCCCTGTCAATGCTCTGGGACTATTATTGATTTCTCGTTGATTCTAAGAGTCAGCTCTTTACTAATGGCATAAATTACATCTACTTAAGTAAACTCCACACCAAGAATATGCTTATTCACTTTCAAAGAAAGGGACATAAAAAGTTTCTCTTTACATGGGAAAGAAAAAGAGAACCACCAGATGAATGAAAAACATGAAAAGTTCATGACAGGGATAAGAGAATTTTATTTCAGACAAACATTATCAGAGGAAATGCAGCAATATTTAAAAACAGTCACATTTTATAAAGGTCATATCTTTTATAAAAACATACTTAACATCTCATGAAAACGTTAAAGGGCATAGGATTAAAAAGGCAGGAAACGGGCCCTCCCTGGTGGCACAGCGGGTTAAAGCACAGCACTAAGAAACTAAAGCTACTACAGCATGAGTTGGATCCCCACCTGCCCCAGAGGTGACGACACGGCACGGCAGACCTCTCCTGCCCGCTGCTCCTCTCAGCAGTGTACTTCGATGATATGCCTGTTCTGCTCCCCACTCTGTCTGTGGTGAAGCCTCTCACCACCCCTACACCTCTGGCCTGTACCCTAATTCTATATGCATAAATAAATAAATCTTAAAAAAAAAAGGCAGGAAACGATAGTGAAGTAAAGGATAAAGAGATGGAAGTACATCAAGTTAAAGAGCATATGTACAGCAAAAAAGACATTACAAAAAACAGACAGACATCCTACTGATTGGGAAAAAAATTTCTCACACAATACTAGTGATAAAGGATTGATCAAAGATATACAAAGAACTGATGAAACAACAAAAATAAACAACCCCATCAAAAAATGAACAGAAAAGCTAAAAAGACACTTCTCCAAAGAGGAAATGCAGATGGCCAACAAGCATATGAAGAAATGTTCAACATCATTTGTAATAAGGGAGATGAAAATTAAAACCACAATTAGATACCACCTCACACTAGTGAGAATCTTAAAACAACTAGCAACAGCAAATGTTGGCGAGGATGTAGAGAAAAAGGAACTATCCTGCACTGCTGGTGGGAATGCAAACTAGTACAACCACTATGGAAAACTTGAGGTTCCTCAAACTACTAAAAATGGAGCTCCATATGACCCAGCAATCCCACTCCTAGGTATCTACCCAATAGACACAAAAACACTGATTCAAAAAAGATACCTGCACCCCTATGCTTATTGCTGCTTTAATTATAGGAAAGATATGGATTCAACCCAAATGCCCAAAAGGAGATGATTAAATTAAAAAGATGTGGTACATATACACAATGGAATGTCACTCAGCAATAAAAAAGATAAACTCATGCCTTTTGCAGCAACATGGATGGAGCTGGAAGGGATCATGCTGAGTGAAATAAGCCAGAAAGAAAAAGAAAAATACTAGATGGTTTCACTCATAGCAGGAGCATAAAGAAAGGACCAGAGAGGGAAAATAATAATAATGAACAACTATATACCAGAGACAATTTACAGGGTGGAGTGGGGAATGGGATCAAATGGGGGGAGGGGGGAGTACAGTGGACTATGGTGATGGCACAGGGTGATTTGGTGATAGGAAGCCCAGGGGATTACAACTGAGATAAATAAGGGCACAAAATATTGTAAAAATAAATATTATACTATTAGAGAGAGAGAGAGAGAGAGAGAACAACAGGCAGGAATCACTAGAGTATAATACTTTTCCATGAATTTTTTGAAATATTTGTGGTAATGCCTTTTTTTAAAAGATTTATTATTTATTTATGCACACAAGAGCTCTGGGGTACAGGCCAGAAGTATAGGGGTAGGGTGGGAGGATTCACCAGAGACAGAGTGGGGAGCAGAACAGGTAGACTGACTGCTGAGGAGAAGAGCAGGGGAAACGGGAGGTCTGCCATGCCATATGGGTGACCTCCCTGGCTGTGATCTAACTCATGTTGCAGTGACTGTCCATAGCTTCACAGGGCTGAGGCTTAACCCCTTGCCACCAGGGAGTCCCACTATAATAATGTCGATTCTAGGATTTTGTGGAAAGTTTTTCTCTTTTTTTGGAGGTAGGTGGGAGGATGATAAATCTTTTACTATGAAGTAGGTAAATCCATCTAGAAATTCTAAGAGGAAATTAAATGCATATAGGATCTCTAAAAATACAAATCTTTATTTTTCATATTGTGACCTAGATGGAAATCCAATTTCTGTATTTCACGTTCAGTAGTCTATTTGAGTAGTTAGCCTGCTACACAGAAAATACAGAGGTAATCTCTCCAGAGGAAACCACTTAAAATAATCATAAAAATACAGTCCTCAATAATACTTTGCAGTTACCTTCACAAAGCTAAAGGCTCACATTAGTTTAAATCATACCAAATTTATCATGTCCATTTCATATATCAAAGCATATTCAACTTATCCAACACGATGCCATGAGGAATGATACTGCTTACAGCTCTACTTATGACCATATCAATAGGTATAAAGTAGGCATTTAACACAATTCAACATTCATAAATGATGGAGACAGAAGGAATATACCTCAACTTAAATAACGGCATATATACCAAACACACAGCTAGTATCATAATCAATGGCAAGAAACTGAAAGCATTCCCTCTACTATGAGGTACATAACAAGGATGTCCATTCTTACCACAACTGTATAACATAGCACTAGTGGTAGACTTAGTTATGCAAAATATAAAAGGAGTACAAATCAGAAAAAAATAACACTCTTTGCACATGACATGATAATAAACATTGATAACCCTAAAGAATTCACAAAAAAAAAATAAAATAGAAACAATAAATCATTAAACTGGCAGGCTACAAAGATCTATAGCATTCCTAAATGCAAATAATTAAAAGAGAAACAATTTTTAATTCCATTTACAGTAGCATCAAAAATTATTAAATACCTAGCACTACTGTACATTATTTAAATTTATATGGACCCACAAAAGACCCCAAATAGCCAAAGCAACCTTGACAAAAAAATAAGAGGAAGTATCATGCTTTCAGACTCTGAATTACACTATAAGGCTATGATAATAAAAACAGTATGGCATTGTAATAAAACTAGATACACAGACCAATGGTACAGAATTGAGGGCCCAGAAATAAACCTACACTTATATGGACAACTAATCTACAGCAAATGAATACACAAGAGAACAGAAAATATATTTAACAAATGGTGTTGGAAAACTGGACAGCTACACACAGGAAAATGAAACTAGACCACTAAATCATACACAAAAATTAGCTCAAAATGTAGTAAGGACTTAAATTTAAGTCCTTTATGATAGAAAAAAACATATGATTTGAAAATCATAAAAGACATAGAAAAAACATAAGAAAAATATTTCATGACATTAGCCTTAGGGAAGTCTTTGGGGACTTGATTCCAATGGCAAGGACAGCAAGCAAAAATAAATGAATGGTACTATAATACATCAAGTTCAAATGCTTCTGTACAGCAAAGTAAGTTCTCATTTAAACAAAAAGGCATCTTTCTGAAAGGAGAGAAAATGTGTGTATACTATATATATAACAAGACAAATATCCAAGATCTTCAAAGAACTCATTGACTTAAGGGGGAAAAAAATTCAATAAAAAAAAAATGGGCAGAAGAGCTAAATAGACACTTCCTCAAAGAAGACATACAGATGCCCAGTAGGCACATGAAAAAATGTTCAACATCACTTATCAAGTTTGCAATGCAAAACCACAATGAGCTACCACCTCACTTTCAGAAGAATGGTCCATAGCAAAAAAAGTCTCAAAACAACAATTGTTAGCAAAGATGTGTAGAAAAAGGAAACCTTGTACACTCTAATAAACTTAGATTGGCTCAGCCCCTGTGGAAATAAGTACAGAAGTGCCTTAAAAGTTAAAATATATGATCCAGCAATTATACCACTAGGTATCTCACCTAAAGAATATAAAATCACTACTTCAAAGGGATATATGTACCATTATGGTTTACTGCAGCACTAATTATAATAGCCAGGTTATGGAAACAACCTAAATGTCAAAGGGCAGGTAAGTGGATTATTCAGATATATAAAAAATACACAATCAAATACTACCCAGCTATAAGTAAAGAAGAATGAGCCATTTCCAACATCATGGGTGGAACTGGTAGGGTTTATGCTAAGTGACATAAGTCAGAAGGAGAAAGACAAAAACAGGTGATTTCATGCCTCTGTAGAATATAAACAAAATGAAGGAACTGATAAAACTAACATCAAGGCCCTCCCTAGTGGCGCAACAGGTTAAAGCACAGCACTATGAAACTAGCCACAGCCTCTTCAGCACAAGTTTGATCCCCAACCCTGGAGATGACCCACAAGGCGCAACATTCCTCTTCTGTTTCACCTTTGCTCCCCTCAGCAGTGTACTTTATCAATCTGCCTGTTCTGCTCCCTACTGTTGAATCCTCTCACTGCCCCTGCACCTATGGCCTGTACCCCAGTTCTGCATGTATAAAGAAATAAATTTAAAAAAAAAAAAACTAACATCAAAATAAATCCTAGAAATATGTCTGCAGAATTGAGGCTATAGAGAGGCAGTATGGAGGTTGGAACTAAGGGGCTAGGGAGCCTGTGGTTTCATGTGAGGAGCCATGAGCCTCTGTCCCTAAAACATACAGTGTAATAAACCAATGTTATTTCAATAAAGAAAATAATAAAGCAAGACAGCTATCCCTCCCCACCCCACCCCAAAAAAAAGACACTATTGATTTCAAGTTGTGATGCTAAAAAATACAATGTTTCTAACAATTAAAGTTTTCAATCAACCTCACTAATAAAGAAAAACAGCTCTGACATTTATCTGTAATTTTTTTAAGCAACAGAAGAATAATGGCATTTGCTTAAGACACAGTGACATATATCATTTTAGTATAATAAGTAATTCTTCTCTTGGGAGCTTAATTTGGTCAGCTTAACTCTTTCATTGCTAATGTTTATAGTAAAACCAATTCCTAACAAATACATGAGTTTCCATGTGCTTTTAACTAGAGTGCAGAAGGAAAACCCAATTTCTGCTCTACTGCTCACTAAACATCCTATCCCCTAGCCCAAACCACCCTGCATTTGGATATCTTTTCCATTTGTTAAAATCATTACCTGCATGTTGATGTATGAAGGCCGGGGGGCCAAGCAGGCCCTGTCAGAGTTCTGCTGGGCGGCAGCAGCCCTCTCAGCAGCACGTTCACTCCCAGGGGCCTTCTTGTCAGTCAGAGGACTTTCTGCAGAGCTCAGTTCAGAGTCCGAGAGCAACCTGTCAGTGCTGCTGTGAAGGAGTTAGGAACTGAATACTCCATAATTCTAAAGTGATCAGCGTTCCCCACATACCCCAGACATTATGTAAGCTTAGCATGTTCAATTACTTACATGCATTATCTCACTTAATCCTCCCAACACTGCTTTAAGGTAAGTACCAGGAATTCCCGCATTCTACAGAGGAGGGGAGTGCCTTGTCCAAGGTGATATCTCTGATAAAGGGTAGTGCTGGCATTTGAACCCAGGTGTTTTAATTCCAGAGCTGTTACTGAAACTATTGCATAACGTATATTCATATATATTGTATGAAGCCTATATACAGTGCTGTAGAATGGACATATAACACTAAAGGACAGGTGCCCCAAAAATGTCCAAGGCAGGCTTTTCAATAGGTGTCACTTTGGCAGGTGGAACCAAAGTCATCTGATACCCTGTGGGTGTTCACAAAATCTGTTACTCTTATTTTAAAAATGAAGATTACCCACATTTAAGGTCATCTCTTGAAATAACCATTTTGTCACAGAAACTTGTATTGTGACAGGACAAATATCTATTGCATCTTGTTTTGCCATAAGTCATCTTTTGATACTGTGATATGGTCATTATTATTTTTTTAATTATTCACTATTCAGTTACGCCAGGGAATTTCAGAGAATTTAGGAAAAGTCTGTTATAATATAACAGGAGCAGTAACGAGCTTTGCCTGACAAAAATTCACAAAAGATTCACAGAGGACATTTTGAGTTGGAATTAACAGGGCACCTGCAGTCCACCAGTGCAGAAGGCTAAGAGGATTCAGAGGGACCAGCACACACAAAGGACACGGATGTGGAGATCGGTTTTAAAGTCAATGTGTGACAGCAACTGACGCATGTTTTCAAAATAATTACTGGGCCAACCAAGTGAATGAGAGGCTGAAGGCAGGAGTCCATACTGGAGGTTGCAGTTGATTTCAAGTGAGAGAGGATAAATGCAAAATACACTTAATAAGGAAAGGAGTGTGAGATTGGTTTTGAAATGTCAATACAGAGGGAAAAACAAAATCATTTCTCCAACCTGTATCAAACAATGTTAATTTGGGATATTAGTGCCATGTAAAGAAAAACACAGATAAAGTACATTTGCACTTGAACAAAATGGGAATTGCAATTACAAAAGCAAAACAAGTTTGAGGAATAAAAGGAAGAAACAACAATACAGATGAATATATGTTATAATTGCTTAAAGATACTCAACTCTAAAAAAGTAGGGAGATAAGAGAAAAAGTGGGTAGCTGCAGGTGGATGAGAACAAAATCTTTTGACATATAATCTTTTCATTGTTTTGCTTTTTTAAAATGTGAACAGGCCACCTTTTAAAAAAAATTAAGTGGAAAAAAAACAGTAAGGATGACACATGTATAACTAAAGTGTTGGAAGGGAGCAAAACATTTAATACAATATATGCAATATAATACAATATATTCGCTATGATTAGTTTAAAAAATCATAATGTATTTTTAACAAAATTATCAGTTATCTTAGAACTAAGACAGCTTAATTAAAGAATTCAAAGTCAAATGAATTCACAGCAGGAAAACTGCTAACAGTAAAAAATGCCTTGCTTATTATTGAATAGCAGAGAGAATGCTAACAGTGCAGAGCAATGTAGATGGTTTAGAGGACTCCAAAATAAACCCAAATAGCTACAGTGGAGAGAGACTATAGAGAAGACAGAAAGATTTACAGAGCAGTGAAAATTAGCAGCTATAATTCTTTAATAAAATTTTTAAAAAGAAAAGGTGCTTATAATGAAAAGGTCCAACTCGTTTGAACCAAGGACAACTAGCGATTGAGTTTAAAGCTAATCAAGCTCATTTCAGACTTTTCCAATGGATCAGGGCCCTTCGAAGGGTAAAATACATACTGTAAGTGCGAGTTCTTAGTGCCATGCAAAAGTTCTACTGTCTGCCTCTTGGTACAGGAAACTTTAGATGGACCCATCATTTGTTTCAAGTCACCAGCATTCCCAGAATGGGAAGGGCTTCGAGGCATGCCTACTTCAACAAAAGCATCATTGCAACCTGCAGAGAAGAGAGAAGAGTGAAAACCCAAATGCCATCTTACAATCACCTGTAGTGGAAACCAAGCAGAATCCAACAGATGGCTGGGGACAAGGGGAACAGCTCTCTACTCAAGAGGACAATGCAACAAATTCAGATTGTCTCAAAAACTCACAATGAAATGTGAAGAGAAGGCCCTCATCTTTTTGTAAAGATCTATTTTATGTACTTATGCATATATGAGCTGGAGTGTAGGTCAGAGGTGCAGGGCAGGTGAGAGGATTCACCAGAGACAGAGTGGAGAGAACAGGCAGAGCAAGTGAAATACACTGCTAAGGGGAGCAGCAGGAGAGCCAGGAGGTGTGCTGTGCCAGGTGGGTCAGCTCCCTAGCTGAGGATAGATAGAACTCATGCTTCAGTGGCTGCTGATAGCTTCATAATGCTGAGACTTAACCCTTTGCACCACCAGGGAGGCTCAGCCCTAGTATTTTATTTTTTTTTTTTATAGAATATTAGGGTTAAAGAGTTTATAAAAAGAAATGTTTGACTTGGAGTAAAACTCTGCAATTGTGCACATATGTGTGTGTGTGTGTGTGATAAATTGTCCTGTCACACAATTACATTTATTTAAGTTAGGAAATTATATAATGGGAAAGTGATTCTGTGCACAGTGTTGAATTTCACCCAAGATGCCAACTTTTTGCACACTTGAAGCCAAAATCATGGCATAGATATTCAATTACACCCCTTCTTTAAGTAAGAGACCAGACTGAAGTACAGAAGAAAGATACCTTCTGTGGGGCTTGATTTGGGAGATGCCTGCTCAGACCCAGTGGTTTGTCTGGATGGATCACCATGATTCGCACTCAGCACTTTTTCTCCAAGTGATGAAGTGGATATTGCACCATATTTTATATTTGGAGACTAAAAAGAAAAGAGTAAATAGAAAAGGTCATAATGTTAAAATTCATTTAGGTTAGATGAAGGAGTTATTGTGGCTCATCTCTTACAAAGAGCACAGATCACACGCTCCTGGCTGGAGGACGTTACCTGTGCATGTCCATTTAGAGAAGCAGAGATTTTTTTGCCTTCTGTCTGCATACTGCTGATGTGGACATCAACAGGAGTCAAGCCAGGAGGGGGAGATGGAGCTGTGTGCCCATACGTGGGAACTCCAGACAACAAAATATTAGTTAGCGTGGGGGCAGTCGATGGGATCATAAGGTGTGGTATAGCAGAAAAACCTGCAACATTTCATGAAAGCAGATATCAGACGAGAAAAACTCAGACTCAATGACTGTCTTTTTCAGTAACAACAGTGTTGCTTTTGTTCCTGCAAATTTCATTTTGAGACCTCTCTGTAAATAGGATTAGCATTACTATAAAAATACAAGAGGATGTTAAAAATGGAATACCATTGTGAAGAATATTTAACCCAAGGCTCTCACTGCACAGATGAGGAAACTAGCAAGACCAGGAACATGCAGATGTCGCCTCAGCAAGGCTGTCTAAGGAGAAGCCACCTCTCTGAATGGCTGGGTCAGTGAGCTTCCTGTGCCTTTGTCATTGCTCCCTGAATATTGTGTGCTTTGCCCTGCTCTGCTTGTCTTGTTTGAAGATTATGTTTAAATTGTATGTGACATTCACTGCTTGGGTGTGCTCCATTTTAAACAATTTACATTTTAGGGAATTCCTGCTTGGCTGCAATATGCTTTGAGCCATAATTTTTCCCTCGGAAACAAACCACTAGAAAATTTTATTTACCAATTGGTAATACCTGAGAATACATGTCATGGATTATACTTAAAAGATACTGACCTGTGGCACTTGAAGTACTGGCAAGAGGGGAGGCCCATAATGTGGGGCTGGGGGTACCAGAACTTGGACTTTGCAAAGGACTAACTGAGCTATTGAGAGCATTCAGGAGTGAGTTTGGGGTTGTTGAAGTGTTTAGAGATAAGGTGGTGGGCCCCAAGAGACCTGTAATGAATGAACAGAAAGTCAATATGCACACGTTCAAGATATTTAAATACACACAGCCTAACTACTGACATTCGGAATGCACATTACTATAATCTAGTGTTTTCCAAATATAAAATATGGGTGACACATTCATGAACTTCTTTCAAATATTCACATGAAATGTTGTATGATACAACTCCAACACAGGACCCAGCTTACCCACAAACAGATGTTGGTCAGAAAATGGAAGACAGGCGTGCTCAAACAAGAAAAGCAGTTAGGGTGGTCCCTTAGCACCACTATTTTACATTTCACTTAACTAGCTAGGATGAATAAAACTCTGCTTGTGGAAGCCTATTTTAATTTCTCTGAATAACCTACTGGTCACCTACTTCCAAACATACTCTTTTCAAAGCCATTACAATTAGCAGAGGTTAAGGGAATGCTTTCCTGCAGTAAAATGGCTCCATCTGGCCCATTTGCATATAGACTGAGCTTTCCAGAACTGTATCCACCATATGTGAAAACACAATAGGACTTACTTGAGTCCTTCTTCAATCTATATGAGGATCTTTAATTAAAAAAATTTTATGGGGGCCCTCTCTGGTGGTGCATCAGGTTAAAGATAGCACTAAGAAACTAAAGTCATTTCCCCATGAGTTCAATCCCCTCCCTGCCCCAAAGGTGACCACATGGCACAGCGGACCTCTCCTGACTCGCCTGCTGCTCCTCTCAGGAGTGTACTTCAAAGATCTGCCTGTTCTGTTCCCCACTCTGTCTCTGGGGAATCCTCTCACCGTCCCTGTACCTCTGGCCTGTACCCCAGTTCTATAGGCACAAATAAATAAATCTTTAAAAAGAAAAAAAAGAGCTAAAGCCACTTTCGCATGAGTTGATCCCTGCCTGCCCCGGAAGTGATCCACATGGTGAGGCAGACCTCTCCTGACCCGCCTGCTGCTCCCCTCAGCAGTGTCTCTGGAGAATCCTCTCACCACCCCTGAGCCTCTGGCCTGTACCCCAGTTCTGTATGCACAAATAAATATTTTTAAAAAGTTTTTTTATGGTATTGTTTGCTTGTTTATTTTAAGGACTCAATACTTTGCTTTAAGGGTGAAAATGCCCTGCAGGCATGTAAAATATTCTGAAGTAAATGCAGATTTGTATATAAGTTTCGAGGAGTACTTAAAACATTAAGCTTTATAAGACTAGCATAGCCATGAAAACCTTTTATAAATGAAGTAACACTAAATCTTTCCTCACTTTTTTCAGGTTACTACAACAAGAACTCAGTTCCTGCTGTTAACTGACTGGCATTTTCTACCTCATATACATTGTGGTGTTACTATATTCTATTCTAATATCTAATGGAAGGAACAACTTTGGGAGATTAGGTCCCAAGAGAGGGGACTCCAGCTCTACTGTCATGACTGGAATCTTAATTGTATAACCATATTATATTTTTAAAGCAGGATAGCTACTAGAAAAAAAAAATAATTAAAATATTTTTTTCTGCTTTAAATCAACATAGATTGTGGCAGAATGATTTTCTAAAATAATTAACTTTATATTAACGCTACTCAAATGTGCAAGTAGTGAGCCTATAATAACTGTAATACAGCAACTAATTTTGGCCCTTAGGTTGGGGAATCATAAATGATAGGCTCTAAGTCACCTGATTAAATGAACCACCCTACTTTCTTAAAGAACTAAAAGCATGAAGATGATGTTCTTTCACCTTTCTAATCAGCTTAGATATAAATCCAAGTCCATTTGCTCCCCATGGTGGCCATATACTAGATTTCCTTTATGTCTGGGTGAATCAGGTCTAACAGCAGGATGATCGGGTTCTGTTTGTTTTCACCATCCCCCCTTCTCTTCCCTCCTACAGATTTGCAATTACTTTTACAAAAGCAAAACTGGATAATCTTTATCTCTAGGGACTGACAGCAATATTGCAAATGCAAGAGAGAACAGACACATAAATCCTAGTCAGCTTGCTCACTTCACTCTCAATGGCATTCTTAATTTAGAAGAACAAACAGAGTCACTGAAAATAAATCAGACCTTTATTATTTATGCCAAAATAAGAATAATTTAGGAAACAGAACTTCATAGAATCTAATAAAAAGCCAAAATAGATCGATTCAAATTTTGTAGCTTTTCACCTGATCTCAGGGACCAAAGAAGAAAAAAAAAAAAAAAAACAGCCTTTAAAATGTAGCCCCGAACAGTAGAAAGAAAGGGAATTAGGTAAGCATTTCCCCCAGTGACTAAGAAGTGCTATCATAATATGTTTTATACCTAGTCCAGTGAGTCCGAGGCCTGCTGAAGCTAAGATATCCAGGCTGGGACATGCCAGACCAGCAGGGCACGATGCTGGGGATGGACTGGTTGCTATGGTAACCCCACTGCTTTCAAGTCCGAGGAGACATTTCCTTGCTTCATACATATTTAAGGCATTTCGTTCAACACTTTTCACAATCACAGACTATGAAAACACATAATGGAAAAGAAAAAAGGTGACATGCAAGTAATCCACCATGAACGGGGTTGGGGGGTGGGTGAGACATGAATAATGGTAATATGAATACCACTTGGAATATATTAATGCTGCTTTCAAATCAATTGCTCTGTGAATTCTAAACCCTTAGTTCTTACATTTATACCTTCTGGTGAAACATTCAAGTGTTCGTTGCCACATACTGGGTGACTCCTGTGATCAGACACCGGGACTGAAACTGCACCTATATTCCAGAGCCTTCTGGGGTGGGATTATTCATTTTAGGTGAGCATTAAGAGCTTACTCAAGGTGATTGTGAAGGGCTGGACTGTGAAAGGCCCAGTTGGTGAACAGGAGATGAGAGGACTGGGATTTCTGTCTAGCACTCTAGCCCATTCTTGTTTACCTTCTCCTATACTTACATTAAAGGTTTCCCCCTTTATCTCCTCTTTATGAAACAAATCAAACTGTCAGCACACACAGACTGCTTACAACAGTCATTTATGTTTGACATTTATGGCCTATTAACTATTCCACTTTGAGGTTCCACTATTTCTGACTGACAACTGACAACCTATCTATGGCAGAGCTTGTGGTAAAATAAATTTTTAAACAATGTCATTTTTATTTTTCCTCCACAATCTCATCTAGAAAACAAAACGTAAGCCCAATAGGAAAAGCCTCCAATGGACAATAAAGATAATTTGTGGCTGAGAAAGCAGTTAAAGCAACTGGCCCTCGAGGCTCCAGCTTCTCCCTGACAGTCTATTTTCCCCAACCTGCACTCATTTCTAAAACAACTCCAGAATTCTTCCTGCATCTGTCCTTAGCATTTAGTCTTGATGTCCACAGTCACTTTAGTCAACTCAAGTCAGTCAAACGTAAAGCTTCACAACACATAAAATTTAATATCCCATTTTCCACCTTGAAACTCCACTGCATCAAGTTCACTTAGAATGAAATCTATCTTTTCCTTTATAGTTTTCTCTGGAAGGAGGTGAGATTAATTTTTTTAACTTTGACAGTGAATACTACCTCATTTATATATCTGCAAAATTATATGTAAAATGTGTATCACTATGCATATAAAGATTTATAGTTTAGAAATGAAAAAATCAGAAGTTATGGCTGCTCAGTATTTTAGCTGTTCTCATAAATTAACAACCTTCAGTTTAGAAATTCTTTTTATTTTTCCTAAAATTTTTATAAACTTCACATCATTATATTTTATAAATCCTTTTATTTCAAAGTTTTTTAAGATAGAGAAGATCAAGATTACTGGAACATTTAGACACCTAACACCCTAAAATTGTTTTTTTTTTTTTCTATTTTTGTTGAAGAAATGGAGCACTCCTTTTGATTACTTTCCTAGTTTCATTCCCCTTCCTCTTACCCCCAAAGGGGACTCATCCAGTACAAGTAATTATATATCTCTCTTTTTTTTTAATTCAACACCATTCTGTCCTTTGACTTCTGGTACAAAATATTCTGCATCAATCTAGAAGTAGAATTGCTGGGTTAGGGTATTTTCAGTGTAATCAAATTGTTCCACATTTCCCTTCACAATAATGCCAATTTATACAATATTAAAAAGGAATCTCTTTCCTTATATTCTCGCTTGCACTTAATACCATCAAAGTTAGTGCAATAAATTTTTACTCTACATGTAGTTACTGAAATTTGACAACACCTTAGAAATGAGGTTCTGAAAAGGTTGAACTGGTGTTTTCTTCATTATCTAAAGTATTTATTAAAGTGAATGGGTGCCTATATTTTAAATTTCCAGAACTAGCCTAGCAGCTCACAAATAGTTACCTTACTAATTTTGGAACTGTACATGTATACACACACACACATACACACACAGTATGATACTTAGCCTTATTAACTCTCTCTGGTAATTTAGGAATGCTTAAAGTTATCAGACTGTAAGTTAACAAAGAGAAGTTCATTTCTTTTTTTCTCATATTTACAGAAAAATAATGATCACTAAAAATGAATTCCAAAACCCAACACATATATAAAGGAAAATAATGAGTACTGTTAAAAATTTCTATTTGTGTAAAATAACTAAATAAACATAACATATAATAACACACATTCCATAGGATATTTAGGCCCATATATTTGCAGAAACACTATACAGAATGTGACCTAATGCCTGGTTTTCTGGGTCCAGACCCAGATTTCTGGGTCACCAACCTTGCTTGGCTGTTTGGGTTTTGGTTTAATGCTGATGAAGACATCGAGCTGTTCCATCAACTGAGCAATGAATTGTGGATCGACGTCAATTTCTTCCTTCATATCAAACATCAACACGAGAGGCAGACAACCCTAGGAAATGTCAGAGTAGAAAGTGCAGGAGGTGAAAAGTTATTCATGTAAACATTCAAGAATTTTAACATGTCCATATATGATGCAATTATTTTACCGAACTAAAGAGTAAACAAAAGTAGTAAAAGCTAAATATTTCTTTAAATAACTCAGACAACTGTGTGAAATACTGTGGAGGGGTACAAACTATTTTTTGAAAACAAGATTATGTGTGTCTTCAGTTTGTTGTTGTTGGCCCTAAATGTTTTACCTTGAAAATTTTGCCCATTCTCTAAATTCAATTTTGTTAGTGGTTAGAAACTAAATTCTCATTCACACCAAGGGTATTAATCTTGTGCTTGTAATCAATCACCCACTTATAACATGGCTTTTTATTGTCTCCTGAGTGAAATCTAACAGGTATATCAGCACTTAAAGATCTCCACATTTGGACAACAAATGTTGGCGAGGATGTGGAGAAAAACAGAACTCTCCTGCACTGCTGGTGGGAATGCAAACGAGTACAACCACTATGGAAAATGTTTGGAGGTTTCTCAAACTACTAAACATGGAGCTTCCATATGACCCAACAATCTCACTCCTAGATATCTACCTAAACGACACAAAAACACTGATTCAAAAAGGTACCTGTACCCCCATGTTTATTGTTACTTTTTTTACAACTGGAAAGACATGGAAACAGCCCAGATGCCCAAAAGTGAATGATTGGATTAAAAATATGTGGTACATATACACAACGGAATATTATTAGCAAATAAAAAAAAATCACATGCCTTTTTGCAGCAACATGGATGGAGCTGGAAAGGATCATGCTTAGTGAAATAAGCCAGAAAGAAAAGGAAAAATACCGGATGGTTTCACTCATAGTAGGAGTATAATGAATCAGGTGAGAAACTAAGAATAATAAATAGCTATATACCAGACATTTTATGGTGGTGGAGTGGGGAATGGAATCAAAAACAGTGGGGGGAGGGAAATGCTCTGGACTATGGTGATGACACATGGGTGATTTGGTAGTGGGAAGCCCAAGGGGATTACAACTAAGATGGAAAAATGCATAAAATGATGTAAAACTAATTATATTACTCATTAAAAAAAAAAAAAAGGCCCTCCCTGGTGGCGCAGTGGGTTAAAGCACAGCACTGAGAATCTAAAGCTGCTTCTGCATGAGTTTGATCCCTGCCTGCTCCGGAGGTGACCACATGGCGTGGCAGACCTCTCCTGACCCGCCCGCTGCTCCCCTCAGCAGTGTACTTCGTCGATCTGCCTGTTCTGTTCCCCACTCTGTCTCTGCTGAAGCCTCTCACCGTCCCTAAGCCTCTGCCCTGTACCCCAGTTCTGTATACAAAAATAAATAAATCTTTAAAAAAAAAAAAAAAGATCTCCACATTTTGGCCTGACTTCACTTGCACAATCGTGTACAGGTCTGTTTGTCCACATGTCAAAGTCAGCTTTGAGACTAGAAATAGTTTAAACCGCTTCTGGACACTGATGTCTTAACTCGTCAGAGGGCTTCTTCAACAACCTAAGTTCTACTTCTCTTCTGATGAAACTCCTACTGTTCTTCCTAGAATGAATTTTTAGTATTGTCCCTTAAAAAAAAAAAAAAAGTCACACTATCTCCTTTTATGACAATTGCTTTTTCTTTCTAAAGATTTTTCCCTGACCTCCCCCCCGAAGCTGCCATGTATGGAAATCAAATTCCATACTTTTGTGATGCCCAGAGACTCAGGGCTAGCTAGCTGGGATCTGTACAAAAGTTTCAAGAGACATCACAGTCAAGCACATGAGGGTTAAAATAAAATCACTATGCTTCATTTTACCTGTGGCTAAAAGTGATATTTGTAAGGACTGTATATAGTGATTATATTTCAAAAATGTGATAGCATTGAAAATAGGGTAATTTTTTTTAATGTTCCTGCTCCTTTTACTTCTTTCAATATTGTATGATAACCTGTCACATTAGATATCTGTATTATTGCCAGGATTGGTCAAAGTATGACTATTAATGCAGAACTGCACAGAACACTTGAAAAATTACTTAAAAATAGTATCTAAAGAAGATGAAAAGCAGAAAAAATGAAATGAAGAGTAATCACATTTATCTTTGGATAAGAGAATGCTGCATGACTAGCCTGATAAAGCAAGCTTAACTAAAAATAAATCACACAGGAAATTTCTTAAAATTATGTATTATAATCCTTAATGATTACAACAAGTTCCTATCTGTCAGAGGAATGGAATCAGCAACAGTGACTTACATTTTCTGAAAGTTTATCAAAAATAAATTCTGCAAGGTGATAACAGCAAAGGCCACACCTGACTGTTTGAAATGTCACTAAAGGTCAGAAGAATACAATGGTGTTTTCAATAATATTTGTGTGTCCACATTATTTCACGTGGTATATTTTGTTGCCAGATGTCAGTATACATACTGGTTATTTTTTAAGATTTATTTATTTATACATACAGAACTGGGGTGCAGGCCAGAGGTGCAGGGCAGTGAGAGGATTCACCAGAGACAGAGTGGGGAGCAGAACAGGCAGAATGATGAAGTACACTGCTGAGGGGAGCAGCGGGTGGGTCAGGAGAGGTCTGCCGCACCATGTGGATCACCCTGGGCAGGCGGGAATTGAACTATGGAGAAGTGGCTTTAGCTTCTTAGTGCAGTGCTTTAACCTGCTGCGCCACCAGGGAGGGCCCCACCCATACTGGGTTTTTACATAAATATCTGGAGACTAGAAGTACTGCAAATTAAGTATTGGAAGCAGTACTGAATTATATAAGGGCAATACTACATGCTATAAATCACATATTTTAAAATTGTATCAGATTTATGAAATGTACAAATGCTTCATGCTACCAAAATTTATGTCTTTGAAGGTAAAATCTTAGAAGTATTTTTGTTTTCTTTGTCAAATACAAACTCACACCATGTGTCTGATTAAAATAATCATCTTCCCTAAAAAATATCCAATTACTTGTATTTATGTCATCTGTATTTACTCTAATATAGATATGTACACACACACACACACACACACACACAAATAATGGAAAGAAATTGCTTATCTCCATGAAGAACTTCAGCCTCCAAGGTACTATGTACTTAACTTGATAAGTTCCTATTACAAAGAAACTTCCTTATTTGATCAGGCTTTCAGTGTGCCTGCATAAAAACCACATCTTCCCTGGTGGCGCAGCGGGTTAAAGCACAGCACTGAGAATCTAAAACCACTTCCACATGAGTTCGATCCCTGCCTGCCCCGGAGGTGACCACATGGTGTGGCAGACATCTCCTGACCCACCTGCTGCTCCCCTCAGCAGTGTACTGCATAGATCTGCCTGTTTTGCTCCCCACTCTGTCTCTGGTGAAGCCTCTCGCCGCCCCTGAGCCTCTGGCCTGTACCCCAGTTCTGTATGAACAGATAAATAAATCTTAAAAAAACAAAAAAACAAAACACATCTTCTCGGGCCCTCCCTGGTGGTGCAGAGGGTTAAACCACAGCACTAAGAAGTGAAAGCTACTTCAGCATGAGTTCCATCCCCGCCTGCTCAGGTGACCACATGGCGTGGCAGACCTCTCCTGACAGGCCCACTGCTCCCCTCAGCATTGTACTTCGTCAATCTGCCTGTTCTGCTCCCCACTCTGTTTCTGATGAATCTTCTCACTGTCCCTGCACCTCTGGTCTGTACCCCAGATCTGTAAGCATAAATAAATAACCTTAAAAAAAAAACAAAAAACACATCTTCTAAGTATACACAGCAACATACCCTGTATCCACAGAGGTCACCAAAATCCCCTGCAACACTCATTGCAGTAACCTACCATGAGATATTGCCTTGCAAGACAGACAGACTCAATGGTGCCCTGGAGGTAGACGGTGGATTTCTTTTGTGGGTTGCTGGGATCAGGAAAGTGGATCTGAGCACCTGTTCTCTGCATGATATGTTTGATGTTGCTTCCATTTCGACCCATCATAAAGAGATGATGTTGTGCTGCAATATCTAGCTGTGTGCTCACGGGGATAGCTGACGCCAAGCTACCAGCAAGATGTTCCAACAGCATGGCAGTTCCTTCCTAGGAGAAAAGCATAGGAGGGAAGAGGACAAAGTGTAGAGGGGGCCAGTGAACAGTGGTGGAAGGCATGCATATGAAGAGGTGGTAACATGCATATGAAGAGATGATCCTATGGGTCTCAATCATATCCTGTGTGGAAAACCTACAATACCTCAACATAAAAAAATAAATAAAACACTTCTATAGAGTCACATACAGCAAGAGTCTACTGCAATTCTCATAGCTATGGAAAAAACTCAACATATTCCATAAGCTAGAATGTAATACAAGAGAACATTCTGTAAGAAAAATTAACTTAAAATTCTCTCAAACCAAAACGTGCATGATTTGTATATTTAGGGTGTTCTGAATCCCTCTAGATCACTTACCTTCACAGCACTAGTGTTATTCTGAGACCCTCGTACTATGACAGTAGCACCATACATTCGGGATCGCTGTTTAAAAGACACTGAAATGTTGTATGTTTGTGATATGTGCTGAATAGAGGGGGAATTAGGATCGGGAACTGGTTGAAGAATTCCAGCTATCGGGAGCTCAAACATCAGCACCAAAGGAAGCAGTTCCTAAAATGAAATGATGACAAACCAACCATACAGTTAAAACCTGAGGCTTTCAGGGATGTGTAACATTCATTCACTCTTTTCTGAAGGTGATTTTAAAACATAAATTGTTTTAGTTGTAATCATAGTTTGGGTAAAGTTTCTTTAACAAAAGAAACATTTTGTGGCACATGAGGGTTTGTAACAAGCTGCCTATAATGTTATTTGCACAGGCCAATTTTGCTCACTTCAAAATCATCATCAGAGAAACTGAGTCAGATAAAATGCAGAACATCCCTCACATCTTTAATACAGTAATACAACTTTTGCTTTTTGGTCCATACATGGAATATAGGATTTAGTTAGAACATAGGATTTAGTTAGAGATTGATAAATCATGATACTGTAATACAAATGTCACTGATTAACACTAATAAATAATAAATAGTTACCCGAATTCTAACTCGGGCAGATTCTACTCCTGCCGTTTGTCCTGCTATAGATACCTGCCAAAAAAGAAAAAAAGAAAAAAAAATACAGAGTTAGACTTATCTTAACAGAACCCAAACCTGCTTTTCCAGTTAGCTATACCCTTGTTATTCAAAGTCCTCCAGTAGTAAAAAACAGCATTCATATTACCTGGGAACTTGCTAAAAATGAAGAATCTCAGAAACCAACACAGATTCGCTTCACCAGAACTTGCACTTTAACCAGTTACTTGGGTGATTTAGGTTTACATCACCCCATGGACTGGCACAAAAGCTCTCAGCCCTCAGGCGGCCACCCTGCTCTCTCACTCACCCTTAACTGTTCACAGGCTCTCCCTTTTATTTAAATTCTGCACATACTAGATGAATTTCAATTTGCAGTGATACATACACTACACTAGTTTCTCAAAACACTGAATTATTTCCATGCTAGATGGTAAAAAATAATTGCCCCATCACCCACTACTGACAGTCCTCTCCTGGATCCATCCCCTGAACTTTCCCATGACGAATCCAGGGTGGTCTCCCTTATATGTGGTATACAGACAAACAAAACAAAGGATAAGGCAAAACCCAACCAGTAATAAACTCTTAACATGTGACCACAAAACTCAGGCAACTCGAGAGGGGAGGGTGATGGGAAGAAGGGTGGAGGGGGGAGGGGCCCAACAGAATGTGGTGCAGGATGGTTGGGTCCCTGGCGTGGGGCTGGGTGTGAAATTATACATTTACAGAGGTTTGAACCTAAAACCAAACCTACTTTACCTCAATAAATATAAGTTCAAAAAAAGAATTTGGGGCCCACTTAGAGCTCATCTGTTAAAAACAGGGCATCTTCAGTCTCCTTGCAGCGGGGCATACAATCTATAATACATGCCATTTCCATGATTACCATTTTGTTCTCACTTACCAAAAGAAACATGCACATAGAAAATTAAGGTTGTAATTTGTCCCATAAAAGTTCATGTGAAAAAAAAAACAAACAAAAAACCACAGCACCTGGTTGCTTTTTTCTGCTTGGTTATTCCTGTTGGAATCTGGAAAGTGGATGTGGCATCCTGTGTCTTCCATCACTTTTTTAATATTGTTACCACCTTTGCCGATTACATGAGAATGTTCTGTGTGTGAAACATCCATCTTCAGGGTGACCCGATTGCTCTACATGGAAATAATGTATTATCTCTTGAACATGAGAATGAAGAAACAGCTCCCTAAAATACTTCCCTCACCAAGGGAATAGTGTTGACAAAAAGAGAGCCATGGGAGATCTTAAAGACTTCTAAATAAGATCTAATCTATAAATGCTTCATTTATATTTCTCTTTGCTATTAAAATAATCTCTTTTGGTGGCCCTCCCTGGTGGCGCAGCGGGTTAAAGCACAGCACTGAGAATCTAAAGCCACTTTCGCATGAGTTCGATTCCTGCCTGCCCCGGAGGTGACCACGTGGCGTGGCAGACCTCTCCTGAACTGACACGCCATGTGGTAGCTGTTTCCCTCAGCAGTGTACTTCATTGATCTGCCTGTTCTGCTCCCCACTCTGTCTCTGGTAAAGCCTCTCGCCGCCCCTGAGCCTCTGGCCTGTGCCCCAGTTCTGTATGCACAAATAAATCTTTAAAAAAAGAAATCTCTTTTAAGACAAAATTTCTATTCAAAAGAAGAAATACTTTTTACAAAAAATTACTTGTATAATAGCTTTTCTATAAAATCTGCTACAATCAGCTCATTTTTCTTTGATATACATTATTAATGAAACATTTAATCCAAAAAATTAAAAGTATGACACTGACTGTATGTATTCTAGTAGAACTATACACTTAAAACGACAGAAAACTAGAAATAAAGTTTAAAACTGAATTAAAAGGTATTAACCATTGTTTTGCTAATTTCTTGCATGTAACTCTTTATAAAGTAGAACAACTACTATTCTCATAGTTAGAGAGAAAAGAAAGGAAGAGTTCACAAAACAAAGACACAATGAATAAAAGCATTGTGGTCATATCAGAATTAATGCATTTAATCTGAGGAACTTAAACTGTGAAATTATCAAAGCTGACATGAAATATTTTCTCATTTACTAAATTGATTCTGAAATTCTTCAGTGCTCCGGAAGTAAAAGTAAAGTCAAATGCAATAAAATGCTAAAGACATCGTGATTTACATGTTCCAAACTCTTAAATTTTAAACATTTTCCCATGAGGTACTCTGATTTTTAAACTTAGGTCTTTTATAGTTTTCCGTATGAGGTACAGGAAAGAGATACTATGTTTATTTTTAGAAAAAATTTTTCAGTATTTAATAATCAGAAAGTGAAAAATTCTTAATAAAAAGAAAAAAATCAGTGAGCATTTCAATGAGCTATCACATAGTAAAACATGGTGGGTAAGAGCTTGGTAAGTGGTCTGAGATAGCACAGCTCTGAGCTTCATCTCAGGGCCTGATCTAAAGGCTCCTACTTCATGAACTGTCCTTTGTATGCAATACATTTTTACTATATGTCAAAAACAAAACAAAAAACACCTAACAACCTTGATCCCACCCTCCCACATACTTATCAGCTCTTGAATTCTGAGTGAATCACTAATATCTCTGTCTACGTTCATCAAGAGGAGGTGGCAGGGTGCAGGGAAGGCAGGGGAGAGGGCACATGGACTAAGGTGAGGACTAGGTGTGTTCCTGTGAGATGCCCCATGGGAGAGCACTAGCGACTACACCTGAGGGGGGAGACCCTACGCTGTCAAAACACTAGCAAGGAAGTAAAACAAGGACACTTCAGCAAACATAAAAATAACAATTAAAAAAGTGGATGATATAAAATAAGATGCTTAGCAAAGTGCCTGAAATATAGTAATTTAGAAATGTACATTAAATTCTCACCCATGAGCACAGTTTTTGCATATTTAAACTTCCCTATTATTCCTCTATATAGACACTTGCAGGGAATCCATATATACGTGTAAGAGAAGGCATCAGATTTCACTCTAACATTCACATACAAAGGATACAGAAGAGCATCCTGGTTTTCTATGGGCATCAGAAAGGTAAGAAGGCCAACCCCAACCACCTTAACCATGACGGATGTCTAGTTTCCGAAGATGACACGTACATACACATATATATATACACATGTGCACACACATGTATACGTGTGTGTAATATCACTCAATTACCCAACTGAGGGAAAGTAGTGAAATTTTTTAAAGATTTATTGACTTGTACATACAAGAACTGGGCGATAGGTCAGAGGGGTGGAGGGTGAGAGGACTCACCAGAGACAGAGTGGGGAGCAGAACAGGCAGATCTACTGAAATACGCTACTGAGGGGAGTAGTGGGCGAGAAAAGAGGGATTTGCTGTCCATATGGGTCACCTCCCTGGCCAGGGATTGAACTCATGTTGCAGTGGCTGGTGATCACTTGATAGTGCTATGTCTTTAACCCCTGTGCCACCAGGGAGGCCCAACTACTGAAATTTTAAACAGAACTCTAAATCCATTGTGGAATTATACATGCTTATTTTAAAAGCCACCATTCCTTCTCTTGGTTTTTCTTCAAATAGTTATTTCATAACAGTATGAAGCAGCCCTTGCAGAAAAAAGGTTTTGACATCTCAATGTCCTTAACATTAACTTACTTTTGTGTCTAAGACAGACATGATCATTTCCTTGGCTTCCTTAACATCTTCTTTCTTTCCAGAAACTTTAATATGGGGGTCTGTAAAAAAAAAAAAAAAAGCAAACAAAATACTCATGGAAATTGTGCTCTTTTAAAATTGATGCTATAATAAAAGACTCCATAATAAATTCAACATTTTGTTTCACCCTAGATGTGTTACTATGATAAAAAAAAATAAGAATATGGAAAACCCTCAAATAATGTCTTTATCTGTAGCTCTATTCTTTCTGAAAGCTAGTTAGAAACTTAAAGGTACGTTTAATTTTTTTTTAAGATTTATTTATTCACACAGAATTGGGGTACAGGCCAGAGATGCGGAGGGTAAAAGGATTCACCAGAGACAGAGTGGGGAGCAGAACAGGCAGATCGATGAAGTACACTGCTGAGGGGAACAGTGGGTCAGGGGAGGTCTGCCACGTCATATGGTCACCTCCGGGGCAGGTGGGGATCGAACTCATGCGGAAGTGGCTTAAGATTCTTAGTGCTGTGTTTTAACCCACTGAGCCACCAGGGAGGGCCAAGGTACATTTAAATTTAATTACAAATCACATCATATAATTGTACCTAAACAAGTGAGGATTCTATAAATTCAATTTATTAATTGTTCTCTACATTGCTACATTGCAGTCCTGTTCTAAGAATTTAAATGTATTAGCTCACTTAATTCACACCTCAATAATTTACAGAGAAAACTAAGGCATGGGACAGTTTCAAAACTTGCAGCAGAAAAACCATTGAAAACCTTATTATAATCCAATGTCCTTCAGCTCCACATCCACACTTTCAACTATGTGATCATTTTAAAATATATTCTTTGTGAAAATTAAAAAAAATATTTTTCATGGTAATTTAGAAAATATTCTTACAGTTTAAAGTTAATTAAAAAATCATTCGGGGACATTTAATAGTCATTCAGAGTTTAATATCCATTTGGTTTTGTATGATTAATATATGCTTTGTGTCTATTATATATGACAGCTGCTGAATTTTACACAGGAAAGCACTTCTTCATTCAACAAATATTTTCTGAATCTGGACACGGTATCAGGTGCTAATTTTGGGGCTGGAAGATAGATCAGTGAGAGAAAAAGACCTCTGTTCACGTGAGCTTACAGTCTTGTGCAGGAAGGTGAAAATGAATCAAATAAATGACCTAATAAATTAGCACAAAAAAATTACTTAAAAACAAAAAGAAGAGCAAGGGAAGAGAATCACAAGTTCCAACTATGGCAAGGAAGTAGGGGCTTTAGACTTCACAGAGAAAGCAAAGAAAGTTCAAGTCTCCTTGGCAATTTAGGTATTTGAGCACCCTGTCAGTCAATTTTAGAGAACAAGACCCTAAAACTGGGGTAAGCTGAAAGGTTCTAACTAATAAATTTCATGATAAAGCTGAGCCAGGTAGAAGTCATTTGTTGTTATTATTACTCTTACTATCACTATCAATTCTGCTAATTCAGCATGTGTGGCTGATCAGTGTGTCAGTCAATGACAGGCCACATATATGACGGCAGTCTCAACAGGTTATACAGTACCTCGGGGCATGGTAGGCTATGGTGTCTAAATATGTGTAATTAATTATATACTATAATGTCTACACAGCCACAAAGTCACTGTTTCTCAGGAATTATGCCCTTTGTTAAGTGGCACAGGACTGCACTAGCACCATTAACTTTACAACAGTCACTGGTCACCCCAATCCCACTGAGTGAAGCAAGGCACTACTGACTCAGGCAAGTCCTTCATGTACAGTATGTACCTTAGGTCAGTGATCAAGTCAGAGACGTATGTTGAGCCACTATTTGAGTATTCGGCTTCAGTCCTTCATTCTTCTAAATTGTCAACTCTCTAAAATAAGGAGTCATAATCACCTGGTGGGAGGTTTATCAAGCTCACAGATTGCCCAGCTATGTGATTTCCCCACCCCACAATCCAGTGGAAACTCCACACCAAGATGAGCATGAACATGTCATACTTGTAAGGTGTAACTGAGAGACGTGAGGAGGGAGGGAAGGATGGAGAGAGAGAGAAGAGAGAGAGAATGAAGAGGGAGGGAATGAGGAGGAGGTGGAGGGGAGGGATGGAAGAAACTGTTTTCTAAAGCTAAAGCTCTTAGGACCCCGATGGCGCAATCACAGGCAACATCCCTGTCTGCAGAGTTAAGGAAGGCATCTGGCCTCCTGTGGGATCATCCCAGCAGCTGTGCTGAATTTGAGTCAGTGCCATCACCTCCAGCACTCCCACCCCGCCCTCTCCCCAGACTGTCTGCCAGTGGCTGCTTTTGGCCCAGTGCACTTCTCCTCACCCCATCCTCTAACCTTGCCTCTGACCTGAGCCCTGCCAAGGGGACACTGAGGAGGTGAAAGGCAGTGAGAAGGTCTGAAACTTTCCGAGAGCTTATGTGTCAGGTCTTGTAAGGCAAGGGGACCGACAGCAGAGGGAAGGGGCTGACCCACTATCCCAAGCAGGGGAAGCAACATTCACACAGCTTGTCCCTTGATGCATTTTAATGGACCATCTTTGTAAGACTCTCACCAACTTTAACACACAATGTAAACTGAGAGCTGTCCTTCAATAATCTTACACCCATTGTGATGCCTCTAGGCAATTTTTACTAAAGAGTTCTCCACAATGAACAATGTGGTCTCATCTTTAACTTCAGTTTGAATTTCTGTACACTGACACTGATACAAATCCCTATGGAAAATGTTCCTTTACTAAAGTGCAGATTGGATCTTAGTACTTCTCATAATACGTCAGACTTACTTGTTAAAATATATATCCCTGTTTTCCAAGATTCGGATATTGGCATTTTGCTGGTTTCCCAATTGGTTCTTAAATAAAGTATAGTAAATATAAGATTAAACCAAATTAATATGTACTAATAATTATAGTGTCTTATGTATCAATAAAATATGTAATATTAAATGCTTTCACAGGAAATAAAATAATTTTTGCACAAAACATAACAATGAGTATTCAGTAATATAATTAGAAAACCTATTACTTTACAAGTTAGATAATCACACTAAAATTCCTATATATCCTCAGAGAGGTAGGAAATCTCAGCTTAAAAATAATTTGATTTCTTACCATCTCTCAATCAACAGAACAATCAACAAAATAAAGGCAAAAGCCGCAATAGAAAATTATTTCAAAGTGAAAGAGCGCCATCTAGTGACCAAAACCAAATTATCAGTGAATGCAAATGGACACACACACACATATTACATACATCTACATACACACATCCTCTCACTAAAGGATAACATTTCCCTCTTTCCAAGACTTTAATCAGCGCTTGTTTGGAAAATGGGCTTTTAAATAATTAAATCTCATCAAGTATCTATAAAACCAAATGACAAATTCAGGTTTGTATTTGTGTTGGTCAGTAGTATTCATTCCCTTTTTTTGCCCTGTTTAAAGATTTATACAGGATGTGAGGCCTCCTGGGTGGCACAAGGGGTTAAAGTACAGTAAAAGCTCTCCATGACCACTGTCCTACGAGTTCAATCCCCAACCAGAGCTGACCCACATGGCACAGCAGACCTTTCTTGTCTCGCCCACTGTACCCCTCAGCAGTGTAATTCAGATCTGCCTGTTCTGCTCCCCACTGTGTCTCTGGTGAATCCTCTCCCCACACCCCCACCACTACTGGCCTGTACCCCAGTTCTTGTATGTATAAATGAATAATCTTTTAAAAAAAAAAGATTATATAGGATATAAGCTACTAATTCAAATTGAACTTAATATACTCATTTCAAGTCCTAAATACAGTGTATTTCTGCTTTCACACAATGTTAGAGTATACAATTCAAGCTTGTCCTCTCCGCTTCTCTAAATTAATGTTAGAGGGAAAACTCCACTTTTGATATGAACCTTTTACCACATTTACTCTAAAAATAACATATATCATTTTCATAATCAGTGCACAAACTCCCTGAATATGTATTATGTCTTTACTGGTTTTCTGATTCCCACAAAGCCACGCAAGTAGTTATTAGTTGTTTTAATCTGTTGTCCATTGGACTGATGCCCACTCTACCCCAATTCTGGAAATGGCAGAACACAGAGGAAGGGAATGAAAATCTGAGAGAAGAGCCTGAACTTTGTATCTAAAGTGGCACTCTGTTCATGCGTCCAAAAATGGTTTGGATTTCAAACATTTTGATCTCAGTATTTGTAAAATAGACAGACAGACAGATAGATAAAACAAAAAACTTTTTCATCCAGATTCTTGTTTATAGATTCCTGCTCACATCCCTCCAGTGTCATCCTGTAGAGGAGAGGAGAACCACAAAGTGACCCAACCTCCAAGAGTAATCTGGCGCTGCAGGGACCGGGCTATGAAGTGAGGATTTATATGTGTGCTGCAAAAGTGCTCAGCCTGGGAGCAAGAAGGTTATTATGACTTCCATATGGACATTTGTAAAGACTTGATATGACAACTGTTTTCATAAGAGCACATGCTAAAAACCACATTTTTATAATAAATATTTTTAAAAGCTGGGGCATTTATATGAACATATGTGTTGTTTAGTTATGGTTTTAAAAGATATCTCTTGATACTCTGATTTCTACTCTCTGGTTTCCCATCCTTGGAAATAGTCCCATTCTTGAAAGCATTAGTGAATATTTTATTACCTTTTCCTTTTCTCCTCAAACTTAAATCTCCTTGCCATTTTATTCCTATCTCACAACAAAATCTACAGAAAATGTTCATATAGGCCATTTTATTGTATTTATTAGGCTACAGGAAGTAATGTGCTACTGACACATGAAAAATTGAAGCCATCAGTGTTTGCCAACAATCTCTTTGTAGCTATTTTTCTGTCTCCGTGACTGAGTATGACTTAGCAAAAGATTCAATCTGAACAGTTCAAAGAAATGCTTTCATTCTCAGCATGTTCCTTTAGAGAAAGAAAACAACAGAAAATGTCCTGTTGGAGTAACCCAATCCTCTCACAAAACACCCCAAAATAAAAAAAAATCGTATTAGAGCTACAGTTTTATTTATTGAAAAAGTCCCATAACATGATCTG